TTTTCCACAAACCACTTGAAACTCCCCTTGTGTATGTGCTGTGCACATGTGCTTGTGTATGGTTGTAAGAAAATGAGAGTATGTTCATTTGAGAGAGAGAGAGAGAGAGAGTGTGTGTGGGTGTCCACCCATGGGGTTAGGGTGAGGTGAGATACCTCCATTGGAAAAAAAAAATCAAGCCATGACCTCGTGTTTTTTTAGTTGTTGTTTTTAAATGCATCCATCCATTGTGTCAAGCGCTTTTGTACATAGGTTGCCATCATCATTTTCAAAAGATTTACTTTCTATGTGAGCCCTTGGTATCAGCTCCCCACTCCCAACACCCCCCAACCCACCCCTCAAACCCTTGATGACCTCTTGGTAATGTTGAGTTCTGCTGGAATTTTGTGGGCTAGCCCTACTCTTTGTAAACTGTCGTTTTCAGTCTGTGGACCATAATTCAGTCCATCACTGTTTCAACATAGACCTATTTGGAAATTGGCACCAGTTTCCAAATCCATTGTCGATATGCTAACCGATCTTCATCCTTTCCCAGAATGACTTTAAAATTGTGCCCGGTTCTTACCACCTGGGAACTAGGAAGCCTTTCTCCATGAAGAAGCATCTTTGTCCTCTCCCCTTTGGGTGAGTGCTTAGATGCCAGTGCCTCTAGTAAGATCTCTGTGGCTCCCAAGGCCACTTTGCAGGTTCTCTTTAAACAGATGTCTGAAAGATGGGTCCAGTTCTGAGCCAGAGGGATTGCTTTGCAGAAGGTTGCTTCTCCAGTGTTGAGCTCTTGGGGCTGATGTAAAGTGTACATCCAAACACTTTAAAGATGGGCACTTACAGGCTCCCTGGGGAGCTGTCTGGCTCCTGGAGGAATACATGACACTTTATTTTCTTCCCTGTAGGAAGTGGTTAAAAAATTGGGTTTTAAAAAAAAGGAGACCCTATGAGGATCTCTTGTGGCTTAGTGGTTACACATCGGGCTACTGACCATCAGGTCTGTAGTTCGAAACCACCAGTTGCTCCTCTGGAGCAGGCAATGCTTTCTCCTCCCATAAGAGTTACAGTTTTGGAAACCAGCAAGGCAGTTCTACCCTGTCATATAGGGCCTCTATGAGTCTGAACTGACTCAATGGCATTGAGTTTGAGGGCCTCTATAGGAGCCCTGGTAGCAAGGTCAGCAGTTTGAAACAATCAGCTACTTCTTGGGAGGAAAATGAGGCTTTCTCGTCCCATAAAGAGTTAAGTCTTGGGAACCCACCAGGTAGTTCTATCCTGTCCTGTAGGGTTGCTATGGATCAGAACTAACTTCTTGGCATTGAGTGAGTGAATACGGGTCCCTATGACTCAGAATCCACATAACAATGAGGAACACAAACCAAAAGGCTGGGACCTCTTAGAAGAAAGGCTCAGAAACCAACAGTGGCAGTTCTGCCCTGTCCTGTCCGGTCGACCCTGCCCTATGGGGTTGCTACGCGTCAGGTCAACTCCGGGCAGTGCGAGTCAGGTGTTGGCCTCATCCAAGCATTTCACATTTATTACAAATGAATACCAAAAAGATTAGCATCTCCTCCAGCATTTGGTGAATGGCTGTGGCCGGTCCCTTTTTAATATTGGTTAGTTTCTTGTCCCAGCTGGATTCTTGTTCTGTGCTGGCATAGGCTGTCGACCTTTTCCACTCTCCTCCTCATGGATCCTCATGGATCCTCATGGATCCTCATGGATCCTCCTCATGGATCCTCTGTTTTACCATCACAACAAGTTCCGGCTGCCATCAAGTCCCTTCCAACAGGCGGCAATGCCGTGCGTTGCAGAGTAGAACTCGCGATAGGGTTTTCTTGGCCCTGGTGATGCTGTGGTTACATGTTGGGCTGCTAACCATGAGATCGGCAGTTCAAAACCACCAGCTGCTCCGAGGGAGAAAGGTGAGGCTTTCTACTCCTGTAAAGAGTTACTGTCTTGGAAACCCACAGGTTTGAACCTACCAAGGGGTGCCCTGGAAGAAATTTCTGCCCATCTGCTCCCCTAAAGACTTCAAACCCCAAACCAAACTCACTGCCATTGAGTGGCTCCCAATTCAAAGTGACCCTCTAGGACAGGATAGACCAGCACCTCCGTAAATATACAACTGTAAGTCAAAAAGCCCTGTTGTCAGAGGGGTCTGCCTCATACCAAAACATTCAAGTTGATTATGACACATAGTGACCCTATAGGACACAGTAGGACTGCCCTGTGGGTTTCCAAGACTGTCGCTCTTCATGAGAGTAGAAATGCCTGTCTTTCTCCTGAGGAGCAGCTAGTGGTTTTGAACTGCCAAACCTAAGGTTCGCAGACCAGCGAGTAGGGCTCCTTCCATACCCACACAAGTATATTCAAAACCAAGTATGTTTACATATGTCTCTGCAGTCAATGAGTGGCGGCAGACAAGTCCTTCCAATCATGCAAAGGGCCATCGGAATAATTCTCATTGTTCTTTTAATTCCATTTCCCATGAATTTTATGATGCCCCCTTGTGTACTTAGCTTCATTAGGGTATTGCATAAAAACAAGTCCAAACAGTGGCTTCTGAGGGGATCGGCTGGGCCATTTAAATTCAAGGCAAAGAGGTCAGCTCAGAAATTTGGGTGACTGGCTTTTAAATTTTTAATTCAAAGGGGGCAACTTTACAGATTTTTTTACAGGACATGGAGCCATCATGAAGGCTTCTTAGAACGAAGTTATAGGAAAATGACATTGATGAGAAAAAAAACCAAGAAAATCCCACCAAGAAATTTTTTCTGCTTACTAGTGTGTATCCATTCCTTTCTTTGAGGAGAGTAGGCCCGGCCTGTGAGAACGCCTTAGAACACCTTACTCCATCCGCCTGACCACCCGAATCTTCAGGCCACTTTCTGTTCCTCAAACTCAAAGGTTATTTATTTTTAAATCACCATCTGCGCCCCTTGAGGACGTGCTGGAACTGCCATGTTGACATGGTGTGAATGGAAGCAGACAGACTTCTCCAGGGAAGGTTTGCAGAGATGGAAACGCCACTCTCAGGCAGTGCCGAGCCTGCAGGGAGGCGATGCCAAGAAAAACAGCATCCCCTGCTGGTATTTTTGTCTAATGGCGCGCGTTACCATGTAGTGGCTATGTCCTTCACTGGCTCTCACGTGTTGCCAAGTCCTAGCCACGTCTGAGACATGGTAACCCACCCTCCAACCATCGTCAACCCACTCTTCTGTGTGTGCCTCCCCAAACGTTTCAGCCCCCCTGGGGTTAGTGCTCAGTGACATGACACTCTGTGTGAACGATGCTCCTGGGGCCAGACTGCCCCTCCCTCACCTCAGTCTGCAGGTGAGCTCCAGTATCAGGGGACCACAGCTTGTCTGGGACTTCCTCTGTGGGAGATGCAGCAAAGATCTTTGCTCCTCAGCTAGCCCCCCATCCATCTCCATCTCTCTCTCTCTCTCTCTCTCACACACACACTCAGACTTCACAACTCCGCTTCACGGGGTAGATTCTGATCACCTTGTGCATTATTCTGTTCGGTGCACTTGTCAGTGAACATGCTTAACACGTGTGATTACGTGTTCATTGCTCTTTGGGGAAATGTGTCTCCGGTCCTTACAGACAGACAGCTGACTCACTGCCATCAAGCTAATTCTAACTCACAACTCTTCTAGGACAGAGTAGAACTGCCCCTGTGTGTTTATGAGACAGGAAATCTATACGGGAGTAGAAAGTCTTGTCTTTTCTCCTGTGGAGGGACTGGTGGTTTGGAACTGCTGACCTTGAAGTCAGCAGCCCAACATGGCTCCGTAAAAGCCACTGTATGTTTGCACTTTTCTGACATATTTGTGGCCCCTCCCAAAGGTGTGTGTGTGTGTGTGTGTGAATTCTATAAATTATAAAACCTGTCCTGGGGTTATTGTACATCAGCCAAGTTCTGAGAATTTCCAGAAATGGGACTGACCTGCTCACTCACTCCTGTTTGCTCTGCAGGTTTGGCCTCCCCTTCCGCCATAACTCCAGTTGCTTCACCTGTTTGCAGCAAAACAAAGAGCACCACCCCAGTTTCCAAGCCCCTGGAAGGTGAGTCATCAAGCCCCCCGATACGCAGGTCCATGGGCTTGTGGTCAGAAGCATGCTCCCTGGCCCTTTCTCACTGTGGTTTCTACTTGCTCAGATATCGAAGCAAGACCAGACATGCAGTTAGAGTCTGACCTGAAGCTGGACCGGCTGGAAACCTTCCTCCGCAGGCTGAACAACAAAGGTACCCAACAGGTGCCCACAGTGACCCTTGAATTTCCAGGCTTCCAGAACACTGGTGTGCATCTTCAATGTGAGCCTACAGAAGGAAGCCGGAAAACACCTGCTCTCTGACTTACTCTGCATCCAATTCTGGCTGCCTTTCCTCCCCCACCCAAGGGTCAGCTTGCTCCCATAATGTCACCGAGCCCCACATTCTCTGTGCCAATGGTTCTCAACCTGTGGGTCGCAATCCCTTTGGGGGTCGATTGACCCTTTCACAGGGGTCGTCTGATTCATAACAGTAGCAAAATGACAGTGATGAAGTAGCAACGAAACTAATTATATGGTTACGGGGTCACCACCACATGAGGAATGTATTAAAAGGTCACGGCATTAGGAAGGATGAGAACCGCTGCTCTAAGCATTAACCTTGTGGCGAGCCAAAATGACTTCAATCACCTCTGATTGGCTCATGAAGCTCGGACGTACTGGATGTCCTAAATTGGAGACCCTCCAATCACACGCTGTCCCTGACTCTAAACCCCAAGAATAAGGCCCTCCACTCAGAATTACACTTTTGATTGTAACCTTGAAGGCCAGTCATTCTACACATGCAAAATCAGCATAGCTTTGGGTCTGAGGAATTCTAAGTTATATGTATCAAATTTTAGTAAGGTAAGCAAGAAAGAAAAACAGCAGATAGTATTGCTTCTTATCACAAAGTGTGTCTACAAGAAAATTCCGGCAACGAAAAAGGAGCCCAGGTGGCATAGTGGTTGCGAGTTAGCCTGCTGACCAAAAAGTCAGCAGTTCGAAACCGTCAGCCATGCCTCTGGAAAAGGCAGCACTTTCTACTCCTGTAAAAAGGTACAGTCTCGGAAACCCACAGGAGTGGTTCTGCCCTGTCCTACAGGATCGCTATGAGTTGGCATCAACTCTATGGCAGTAAGTGAAATGTTGCAATTAAGACATTGCAATACAAAAATCAGTCAAGTATATAGCGTCACAGAAAAAGCACCTTAGCTCCTAATAGAAATGCCCAGTACTTGAAACGGATCAAATACTGGGAGGTGGAAGCCCCTACAGTCAACAGAGATCCTTAAACGGTTGAAAATAAATACAACCAAGTACTTTAAAGTTGAAGTAGAAGCATGTCATCAAGTAATTAAACTGCAGGCAACTAATGCAAACCACTGAAAGTTTATTATACAAACACACACATGATAGCAACCTAATCTAGGGCCTATCAACTCCAGCTCGGCACTTGTTCTTATAGATAAAGTTTTATTGGCCCACAGGCACAGCCACATATTGACAGTAGCTACTCTTGCCCACCAGCAGAGTTGACTCGTCACAGCAGAGGCCCCTGAGAGCCTACAATATAGACCATCAGGCCACTCACAGAAACAAAGCTCGCTCACCTCTGTTCTAGCACACGAGGCTCTGGCTCTCTAGCCGCCTGTCAGAAGAGGGACACGTTAAATGCAGGCTTACTAAGCTTGTGCGCCGAAAGGCCAGCCTCCTCTCTCCTGCCATTTTGCCGTGGAAGCTGGTCTGGCTGGGCAGTCGTCCCGTGAGAAGTCGTGTCGGTGCCAGGGAGGCATCTATCCACGCTGTGTGTCACCAACCTGTTTCCCCACTCTTGGAACCTAGGAGATGGGGAGATGGCTCCCAAAGTCCTGTGAGGTCGACCGGCCTCACTCACGCCGCGTGTTGTTTGTTGCCGGTAGTTGGCGGGATGCAAGACACTGTCCTCACGGTCACCGGCAAATCCGTGAAGGAGGTGATGAAGCTGGATGACGAGGAGACCTTCGCCAGGTTCTACCGCGGCGTGGGTCACCCCGCCCCGAGGAGCCCCGTGGAGCTCGAGGAGGAGGACTTCGATGTCCTTTTCGATCCTTACGCACCCAAGTGAGTCGTTGCCGTCTCCTCCATTTCCCCTGGCTGCCTCCTCCTACGCCTGCACCGGCATCTCCCCTGCCGGCTGGTGTGAGTCTTCCCCGAGTTAGGCGCCCGCCCGCCCGGCGCAGTGGGTGGATTAGACATAACCTCCCAGACCAGTGCGCCTCCAGGCAGGATGGCTTGTCTTAGCTGCCCTGTGACACACACGTCTGTCCTGTCCCATCCGGACCGTGACTGGACTGTTTGTCGTTTTGGTTTGTTTTAACATAGTTGGAATGTTTTCAAAGTTTTATGAGTATAGTTTAGCAGAAAATAATTCTAGGCCCTTCTTTCGCTTGGCACAGCGAACCCTTTCCTGCCCATAACTTAGGAAGACCGTCTTTGGGTCCTGTGGGCTTCAATGAATAGAACATCCTTGCTAGAGAATCAACAAAGCACGCTGCTCCCTGTGAAAGCTGTTAGGAAATCGGTGGGGCTGCAGGCTTGCGCGGCGATGCCCACGGGTCTCCCTGCACATGGGAACACGACAGTACCACCCTGAGAAACGGCGTGATGAAGTGCGGGGTCCTTCCTGGTCAGAAAGAAGCCCACCGAGGTGACTTATGCAGAAAGTGACGTGGAGGGATGGTGTAGGCTTCCTCACAGCAAAGCACAAGCAGGCGTGCGTGCCAGGCTCGGCAGGCTCCAGAGCTCACCCAAGTGTCGTTAGTCTCCCCCGGAAGATCCTGGGGCTGTTTCCACTCTGCACCATGCTGTGACCCAGTGGCAGAAGCTGGTTCCACACAGCTCCAAGTTCATAAGCTACCTCTCTACGACCCTCCCCGGCAGTTCCTCTTCCCTAGTCATTCCAGCACCACAAGTGCCAGGCTTGATTTTCCTGGCTCCGACGTGGTCCCTGTTTCCCTCCCTAAACCAGCCTTTGTGGCCAACGTGGTAGAAGATGCTGCTTAGCCAGATCTGGGTCTCTCCACCCCCCCCCCACCCCCACACACACAAACCTCGCCCCCCAGAGCTAGGCTGAAGGGTGAGAGTGAAGTGAGTTGGCTCCCAAAAAGGAAAACCAAGATACATTAGCAGAAGCAGGGCAGTGCATGCTGGGAAGGCAAAAAGGATGACACTGGGCCCCAGTGACCTGCTCTCTCCTAAAAACGGAGCAGAATGACAGTCACCTTCAGAAGCCCGCTTTTGCATTCCTGAGTTCCTGATGTTTACGCCTCACACATTTTGCCTGAAGTCGGTCCTGCTGTACATATATAGCATTTTAATTGTCGTGTCAATTTCCTATCTTTAAAAAAAAGTATTCCTCTTTCTCACTCAAAGATCATATTTTACATCAGTGGATATTTAATCATTTTTCAATCTCCCCACCCAAATGCTATTGCTTAAATTGTACATATCATAATCTAAGCATGCTTATATTTATAAGGGGGCACCAGAAGCTTTATGGGGAAAATCCATTATATTTCATTCCATTTACCATGGACTTTTGAAGACCCCCTCGTTAATATATATTTTGAGACATAGATAAAGATGTGTGTGTATATGTATATGTGTGTATATATATAAATATATATATATATATATATATTTAAATAGCCTTGATGGAGTAGTGGTTACGTATTGGACTGCTGAACACGAGGTTAGCTGTTCGAAGCTACCAGCTGCTCCTCAGGAGAAAGACGAGGCTTTCTACTCCCATAAAGAGTTAGATTCTCAAAAGCTCACAGGGGCAGTTCTACCCTGCCCTATAGGGTTACCACAGGTCAGAATTGACTTGATGATCATCAGTAAAAGTCATAGCAATACACACATGTATGGATTCCTATATGTGTACAGACATGGGGGCTTCAAACATTTGGTGGAATTTTTCCACCACCTTTTGAAGTCCCCTTCATTCATAGATCAATAGATGTGTGCGTTTAAACATACCTAAGAGTAAACTTCAACAAGTTTGAGAGAATTCCATAATCTGTTCTTCATTTTACTTTTCCATGAACATTTTGAAGCCGTGTGTGTGTGTGTGTGTGTGTGTGTGTGTGTGTGTGTGTTTTCCATGTGGCACAGCCACGATACTTTCAGACATTTGGGGTAGCGGCAGGAAGCTGTTGGAGGCCATGTACATGGGTTTGCTCTCCTCCAGGGAGTGCTATGAGTGAGGATGTGGTGGCCGGCGTTGGTTTTGTGGTGTTATTTTGTTTCAGTACCTATTTCCAAGCACGTATTTCTTCAGGGTTGGGTCATAGGATGAGAGTAGGTGGGGTAGGGAGGGGTGGCAAGGGAACGGAAAAGCCATTGCCTAAGAGAAAGTGTAGGACGGTGCTCGGTAATGGAGAAGATTTGTGTTGGGCCGCTAACTGCAAGGTCGGCGGTTGGGAACCACCAACTGCTCTGTGGGAGAAAGATGAGGCTGTCTACTCCCGTGGAGAGTGACAGTCTCAGAAACCCACAGGGCAGGCTACCCTGCCCCATCGGGTCGCTGTGCTTTGGAATGGATTTGATTCAGTGAGTGAGTGTTGGAGTGAGAAGAGAAGGCATCTGGAGAAAGTAATATTGAGCAGCAAGAACTGTTGATCACTCCCAGAAGGACTTGTTAGTGGCAGGTGAAGCCACGCAGTGTCTAGAATACTCCAACAGAGAACGAGGGAGGACCCCTGCAGCGTGGGCAAGGTGGGGAGACGACCCTCCCACCCTCTGCAGGGCAAGAACTTCGCAGTGGCCTGAGCTGCAAGTGAAGTCCCAGACAGCCCTACCCGCACCCCTGAGCCAGAGCTGGAGGGTATGGGGTGAGGGGTGGGTGGTCTCCCAGTGGCTGGGATCTGGAGTTCAGTGGGCTTCCTCTCAGCTCTAAGACCCTCTGACTCTGTGTTGGGGGCAGAGGGTGGGGATGGATGCTAAAGAAATCAGGAACTGGAACTGTGGAACCAGGTACCACCCCCAGGTCAGATGTCCTCTATCCCCGCGTCTCTGTAGTCATCTGGGCAGGTGCCCTCCACGGACTGGGCCGCAGCTCTGCTTCGCCCCCTAGGTTGACCTCGTCTGTGGCCGAGCACAAGCGTGCAGTCAGGCCCAAGCGCCGGGTGCAGGCTTCCAAAAACCCCCTGAAAATGCTGGCCGCCCGGGAAGACCTTCTTCAGGAATATACGGAGCAGAGATTAAATGTGGCTTTCATGGAGTCAAAGCGGATGAAAGTCGAGAAGTGTGAGTACTGGCACCACCACCCTGCCCTGGACCGGGGAGCTGCTGGCTGGGGTGGGGAGGGGCCCCACTGTGCATACTGCCCTTGCTTCGGGCTATGCAGCCCTGCCGCCACATGCCCAGGGGTCCAGGGATGCCAGGCTCTTGAAACAGCGGCTTTCTTGACGGAATTATGGACATTGCCAACGTAGGACTTTTGTTGTATCTTCTGACAGTACTCGGGAGGTGTCTTTGGTAGAATTCTCACCTCCCATGAAGGACACCCAGCTTCCATTTCCCTCCAGGGCCCCCCTGGGCAGCCATCACCCATCCGACCCTGGGTGCTGGTGTGTGTGGCTATATGCTGAGCAGGTATCAGTGGAATTTCAAGATGAAGATTGGCTAGGGAGAGAGGCCTGGGGGTCTGAGAATCGGCTGGTGAAAACCCCATGAGTGACAGTGGTTTGCTCTGCAGCCAAAATCAGGCAGGCTGCAGGACCAGGCAGGATGTCATTCTGGTGTGCATGGGGTGGGGGGCTCCCCGTGAGCTGGAGGGCAGCTTGATGGCAGCTCACAACAATAACACCCCTACATCTGTTTAGTCCTAAGGCTTTTCTTAGAAAAGGGGTGTAGAGGTGAAGTGACCGGCTTACACTAGCCCGTCCTCGAAGGAAGTCTGTCTGGGGATGGCTTCTGCCATATCAATTGTCAAGGAGGTGCTCTTTCTTCAGTGTGGGTACCTAATCCCAGGGAAACTTCAGAAAATGTTCTAAAGTTTTCTCCAGTATATATATATGTATATATTTTTTTAATAAATATATATGTTTAAATATATGTATGTAAGTTGGAGAAGTAAAGATTTATTAGCACCAAAGTGGCCTGCTTCAGCTCCATCCTTCATTTTGGGTGGTAACCGGCATTGATTTGTGATCCCTGAGTGCCTATGTCATCTATACTGAAAAGCCAGCATCTTGTTATGACCCTTTTGGGTCTGAAAACCAGGGAGCTCAAGAGATCTCTTTGCCACCAGGAAAGACTAGAAGTCAACCACCCTTGATCACACAGGAGGGCAACCTTGTCTCAGCCGAGGGCCACCATTTGGCTTTTGATAACATCATTCTTGGGCCATACTACTCAAACCTTTCGTTAACCCCTAGCGAGATGGCTGGAAATACTCCTCTGTGGTGAATCGGATGGCATTAGCTGGCATTGATGATTTCATGGGGCTTTATATGCCAGATTTTGCCCACCCCCCTTGATAACGTGACTGCTGTCTCCTATGGCACAGGAAGACATCAGCAGTCTTCCCGGAAGTGCCTTCCGTCATACAAAAGCTGTTCATAATAGCCACGGCAGCTTTCTGGGGAATTGAACACACGAGTTTAGCGCCTGAGTGTATCTCAAGAAACTGGTCAATAAAGGTACTCCGTTCTTGTCTCTCTGCATGGGCACCTCTGAACGGCACTGCTTATCAAACTGAAGTATGCCTGCCTCCCTAATGAAAGAGAAAAAAGATAGTGATGGTCGCCAGTCCTTCCACCTCTCCTCTCATGGCTCTGTGTCCCCTTGTCCCCCTGCCAGTATCCTCCAACTCCAACTTCTCCGAAGTCACCCTGGCGGGGTTAGCCAGCAAAGAAAACTTCAGCAGCGTCAGCCTGCGGAGCGTCAACCTGACAGAGCAGAACTCCAACAACAGTGCGGTGCCCTATAAGAAGCTGATGCTGTTGCAGGTCAAAGGTACCTGAGAGCGGCCCGGGGGCTCTTCCGTCTGGAAACCTGAGGCACCCTGGCTGCTCCCTTGACTTCCTCTAAGGGGGTGACCATGTTAGTCCGGGTTGACTAGAGAAACAAATTCATAGACGCTCACGTGTGTGTAAAAAGAGCTTTATACACAAGAGCAATTGAATATTAAGAAAACATCCCAGCCCAGTCTAGATCAAGTCCATAGTCCTGTATTAGCCCATATTTCCAATAACAATTTATAAATTCCTCTTCAGACTCACGCAACACGTGTGATGACACCCAATGCAGGAAGATCACAGGCCAGTGAGTGGGAAGTCTTGTGGATCCAGTGGTGTTGTAAGCATCTCTGCACTGGCAGGGGTCTCCACGTGGCTCCTCCAGCTCAGGGCGCTAATGCAGCTCCATGTGTCTTGTCAGCTGCAATGTCTCCCAGGGAGTGAGCCTGTGTCCCACCTCAAGCAAGCTCAAGCTGCTACCTGATTGACAGGCTAAATTCCACCCCTTCATTCTTAATCCTCAAGTTGACAACAGATGATATAACTACCACAGTGGCTCACTCTCTTCAAGAACCTACTGTGCACCAAGCCTTGTCCACCTCCTCTCATGACATATCACGGTATCTCACAGAGTTGGAGGTGGTAAACTTGTGAGGGACAGGGCTGGTCCGAGGTTGGTCTGAGTGTGAGTGTAGGGTTCTCCTCGCTCCAAAACTCAGCCTTTGGTGCTTCTTCAACCTCTGCTTCACACACCCTGGGACCTGGCAGCGTAGACAGTCACCTCTCACGGTGTGAGAGCCTGACTGCCGTCCAAGAATGAAATAGATGCAGAAGACTCAGCGCAGGCCAGAGAGATGGGAATCAGAGAACACCAGGGTTAAAGACGCGCTGAGTCAGAACTGATTCGATGGCAGTGAGTTTGAGTTCCTTAATTTTGTGATATCAGGAGTCCTAGTGGTGCCTGGGTTAGGTGTTAGGCTGCTAACCACAAAGTCAGTGGTTCGAACCCACCAGTCACTCTGAGGGAGAAAGATGAGGCTGTCTGCTTCGAAACCCTCGGGGGCAGTTTGACACTCTCTGGAAGGTTGCTCTCAGAGTCAACTTGATAGCTGTGAGTGTGTTGATCGAGAGAAAGGTGGGGATTTCTCCTCCCATAAAGAGTTAGTCTCGGAAACTCACAGGGGCCATTCTACCTTGTCCTGTGTGGTTGCTAGGCGTCAGCATCCACTCGATGGCAGTGGATTTGGGGTGTACGGTGTGGTTTTTTAGCAGGAATTCTCTTTCTGGGAAGACGCTGACGCTCTGCCTTGTGTTCAGGGAGAAGACACGTGCAGACACGGCTGGTCGAGCCCCGAGCCTCATCCCTCAACAGCGGGGACTGCTTCCTTCTCTTATCTCCACATTATTGCTTCCTGTGGGTAGGAGAGTTTGCCAACGTCATAGAGAAAGCTAAGGTTGGTGTCTTAAAAGATATCTGAATTCGGAACTCTTTATTTATAGGTAGCTACAGAACGGTCTACTCGTAGCCCGATTCTTACAAAGCCTCTCAGTTCCAGGTGTTCCCTCCAAGCCAGAAGGGGCAGCGAGGGTTTATGTCCCTGACTAGCTTTCCCACAAGCTGTCATCGGGTGCTTATATGGGAGGACTGTGATTTACGTTTCCAGGCTTTAATCTTAGTCCCATGTCCAAAATAGGAGCTGACATATCACGTCAGGATCGTGTATTGCAAAATGGTTATTACTGTGAAATGTGACCGCCGGGTTCCTGAATCTTGGGGGGTCCTGGGAGGGGGAACTCGGAGAATGGGTGCTTCTTTTAAAACTTCCTAAATGTTGAGTGTTTAAGAACAGAGCTGAGTGCCCTTCGTCCCCCGACTGCGTGTTTCGTAGCTTTATTAGACATGCCCAAGAGGGCATGTCGGGCAGCCCCGTGGTCACCAGGCATTCCTGTGAGACACACCATAGTTTCCCTTGTGACGGTAGCACGGACCACTGCACTTTGCCATGGCTCTTCCACCCTGTAATTGTCTTCCTCTCTTAGGCCTCAGAACTTGCGACTTTAATTCAGACAAAGAGGGAACTTGGCTGTAGAGCCACCTACATCCAAACTATCGAGGAAGGAATTAACACACACACCCATGCTGCCAAAGACTTCTGGAAACTGCTGGGGGGCCAAACCAGTTACCAATGTAAGAGTTTGCTGTGCGTCTGAGAAACGGCCGAGCGGGGGTTGTGTCTCTCCTGCCCTGATGCAGCCCTGGAAATGGGCTCCTTTTTACTGTGCATCCTCTCCGGCCCATTTTCTCCCCCAGCTGCTGGGGACCCCAAAGAAGACGAGCTGTACGAAGCCGCCATCATAGAGACGAACTGCGTGTACCGCTTGACGGAGGACAAGCTGGTGCCCGACGACGACTACTGGGGGAAAATCCCCAAGTGCTCCCTTCTGCAACCCAAAGAGGTACGCGAAGGCGCTCCGCTCGCCAGCCAGAAAGCATTCGTAAAGCACCAGCCACAGAATAGCAAGTGGCCGACAGACAGGAGCCAGGATTACCACTGACTGCCCCGGTAGTAGAGCAGGTGGCCCATTGAGCTGCTTACGCAGGATCCGTGGTTCAAACCCATCCTCTGGAGAAACAGGAGAACGGCTGCTCCCGTAAAGAGTTACAGTCTTGGAAACCCGCCGGGGCAGTTCCCCCATCCCAGAGGGCTGCCATCAGTCAGCATGGACTCGATGGCAGGGGGTGGGGCGGAAGACTTGCCACTTTTGAGAAGGTGTTTGTGATGTCAAATCAGTCTTGCTGCCTCAGACCCTAACACACAACTCAGAATGCTGTTCAGAGGGTGCGCAGATGTGGACGGGGTTCTGTCTCTCACGATGTAATGACAGTATGTTTAGGGAACCCGGAAACCTGCCTCGCCCTAGCTCTCGATTTTTGTAAAAATATTATAAACTGTTTTTGTTGTTGTTGTTGTTAGGTTTAGGAATCGATGGATGTCTAAGTTGTAGTCATCAATTCTGGCCCTGTGCTGGGTTCGTTGAGGGTTTTTATCCCCTCCCGTATCAATAAATATTTGCTGTCGCCGCTCGTACGTGGCATAAAACTCACTGGCCTCAAGTCGATTCCAAGTCACAATGACCCAGGAAGACAGTAGACCTGCCCCTATGGCTCGGAGTAGAAAACCTCATCTTTCTCCCATGGAGTGGCTAGGCCAGTGGATCTCAACCTTTCATACAGTTCCTCATGTTGTGGTGCCCCCCAAACATAAAATTATTTTTGTTACTACTTCATGACTGTAATTTTGCTACTGTTATGAATCAGGCGGCCCCTGTGAAAGGGCCATTTGACCCCCAAAGGGGGTCACGACCCACAGGTTGAGAACCGCTGGGCTAGTGGTTTCGAACTGCTGGCCTTATGGTTAGCAGCCCACTCGTACCCACTACACCATCAGAGCTGTTGATAGGTGGCATAGAGTAGACTTTTGACTCACAGTAGACCTTCCCTGTTGGATTTCATAGGCTATCATATTGACAGAAGCAGATTGCTGGGTTTTTCTCTGGCAGAGCCCCTGAAAGATAGACATTTCTGGAGCCCTGGCGGGGTAGTGCATTTTGTGCCACTGTGAGTTGGAATTGGCTAGATGACAAGAAGTAGTTTTGTTTGTTTGCTGTTTTGCTCCAGTAAGTATTCTATGTGCTGAGGGGGAAAGGGAAGATACAAGAGTCTCACGTGTATTTCGGTAGAAGGGTGTGTTAGTCCGAGTTGACTAGAGAAACAAATCCAGAGACACAGATATGTGTATTGGGTTAGTTTTATATAAAGAGTAATTTTACATTAAGAAAACATCCTAGTCCAGTCCAGATCAAGTCCATAGTCCAATATTAGCCCATATGTCCAATACCAGTCTGTAAATTCCTCTTCAGACTCATGCAACACATGCAATGAGGCAGAATGCAGGAAGGTCACAGCCCAGTGGGTGGAAAGCCATGTGGACCTAGTGGCGGTGGAAGCATCTCATCGCTGGTGTGGGTCTCCACGTGGCTCCTCCAGCTCCAGGGTTCTGGCTTTCTCACTAGCTCTGTGTGTCTTGTCAGCAGGAAGATGAAGCAGTGAGTCTGTGTGGGTCTGGCCTCCAGTGAGCTGTTTATCCATAGTGCCTCCCAATGAAGTCATCAAGCTGCGACCTGATTGACAGGCTAGACTCCACCCCTTCATTCATAATAGTCTCAAGTTGACACCAGATTATGTAACTACCACAAAGGGTATTAGAACACCTATCTCTTGAAGCGCAGATGTACAGCGCAGACCAAACCTGGTGTGGGCCTTCACAAGGAAGACCGTGGCACCAAAAAGAAACAATCTGGGAGAGCTTTCAAGAGGAAGCGGAATGGAGCCTGGCCTTGATATTAAGTAGAAGCCGGCTCGCTGGAAACGAAGGGAAAGACTTAGCTCAGAAGAAAGAATGAGACAAACTAAAAATGTGAAAATAGGAAATAGCACTGCATACACCTACTCACTCAGCGTCTACTGACCACGTCCCTGGGGTATCCAGTCAGGCAGTGTGGTCTCTGCCTGTAAGGGTTTGGAATTGTGGGAAGGAGAGAAGACGTCAGTGTCTGACCTGTGTGAAGGGGCCCATGAAGGGGATGAGTGGACAGAGGAGGGAGGGGTGCCAAGTGAGGAAGGAGCTTTCATGGTACAAGGGTTAAGCAATCACTTGCAAGCCAGAAGGTTGGCATTTGAACTCGCCCAGTCGATCCATTGGCGAAAGGCCCAGGAGTCAGCTCTTGTCAGGACTGTAGCGGAGGAAACCCAGTGGGGTCCCTGGAAGCCAGTGTTAACCCAGCTGTAACTGACAACAGGTCCTACAACCATCAAGTGAGGAGCAGAGGGGGGGAAAGGAGGAAGACAGAAAGGGAGGAGTGTCTTTAAAAAAAAAAAATCATTTTACTGAGGGCTCTTAACAGCTCTTATAACAATCCGTACATCAACTGTATCAAGCACATTTGTACACATGTTGCCCTCATCATTTCCAAAACATTTTCTTTCTACTTGAGCCTGTGGTATCACCTCCTCTTTTTCCCTCCCTCCCACCCTCATGAACCCTTGGTAATTTATCAATTATTTTCATACTTTACACCATCTGCTGTCTCCCTGCACCCATGTTTCTGTTGAGGGAGGAGTCACTGTTTTGGAATCAAAAGTTCCAGGTGGTCTGAGAGTTCAGAGGATAGCGCCTTGACATGCAGGACAGTCCTGGGGGGCCAGGCCGGCTCGGTGACAGGGCTGGGCCAGCTGGTGGGTTCTTGAGGCCTTGGTTCCTGTACAGCGATTGTCCATTAAGGTTTGCACCATCCCTCACTGGAGTCACTGAGGCAGCTCGGAGCACATCCCTGAAGTCAGCAAATTCGTTGGTACCCTTTCCCCAGGTGTTGGTGTTTGATTTTGGCAGCGAAGTCTATGTGTGGCACGGAAAAGAAGTCACCTTAGCTCAACGAAAAGTGGCCTTTCAGCTGGCAAAGCACTTGTGGAATGGAACCTTTGACTATGAGAATTGTGACATCAACCCACTGGATCCCGGAGAATGCAATCCGCTTATTCCCAGGTATGCTGATGCGCGACAGGTAGGGCTGCCTGTTGGGTGAGCAAGAGTCCTTCTGTTGACCTTGGCTCTCACGATGGTCATGGACCATGCTTCTTATAAGTTTCAGTTTTCATAAATGTTTCATTCACTGTAACAGTTTTCAGACTGTTTCATTCACATGTAACAGTATCCCTCCCTCTTTTGAAAAACCCATGCAAGGGGCAGGGAGGGGGGGGGTGCCCATCCTTTGCTGGAAGGTGTGTGTGCGATGCTTCATTTCTTAAAGGGAAGAAATGTTTCCCACCGGATGCTCCTGCGGCAGATGAATAGCAATTGTGTCAACAATGACTTGCTGATTGAAATCTTGCCAGGCTCTGGGATTCAGCCACTAATTCTGGAATTTAGCAGAAGCAACGCATTTCCTTGTGATTTCAGAGCTTCCAGGCATAGCCCCTGAGGTGCAGGATTTCCCATTTATTTGGTAATCAACATTTCGTAGAGGGCATGGAAACACTGAGGTTCCAATGACTTCCTCCAGTGGATAGGACTTTTGAAAGCCATGTTTGAAAATCCACAGAATATAATCCACATCGAAGAAAGGTAGTCATGATAAAAATAATTGTTAATTGCAGAAAAGGCTTTGGGGTTGTTTTTGTGTTTTGTTTTAGCATTATGGGTTTTAATGATGGGCCAAGAAGTGTGCCTTCACCTATAACAGGTTAGAAATAGCTGAGCCTACCCATAGCAGATGACACACCTTGCTTGCTGGAAGTGAAGAGGACTTGAAACGCTCGCTGATGAAGATCAGGGATTGCAGCCCTCAGTATGGATTACAACTCAGTGTAAAGAAGACTAAAATCCTCACAGCTGGACCAATAGGTAACAGCACGATCAATGGAGGAAAGGTTGAAGATGTCAAGGATTTTGTCTTGCTTGGATCTACAGTGCTCATGGGAGCAGCAGTCAGGATCCAACGATGCATGGCATCAGGTAAACCTGCACGAGACCTCTTTTGAAGTGTTGAAAAGCAAGGCTGTTACTTTGAGGTTCTTACCATGAACCAAGCCCTGCTACTTTCCGTGGCCTCATGTGCACATGAAAGTCGCACCCTGAACACAGAAGACCAGAGGAGAACCAGTGCATTTGAATTGTGGTGCTGAAAGAATACGGAAAGTACCGTGGACTGTCAAAAGAACCAACAGACATGTCTTTGAGGAATTACAGGCAGAACTCTCCCGAGAGACAAGGCTGACAAGACTGTGTCTCACATACTTTGGACCTGTTGTCAGGAGAAACCAGTTTCTGGAGAAGGGCATCATGCTTGGTAAAGTAGAGGGGCAGCAAAAAAGAGGAAGACCGTGGACAAGATGAACTGAGACAAGGGCCACAACAAGGAACTCAACCATAAGAGTTGTGAGGATGGCACAGGTCGGGGGGGTATTTGTTCTGTTGTCCATCGGGATGCTGTGAGTTGGAACCGACTCAATGGCACCTAACAATAACAACAATCGGGAGCCCTGGTGGCATAATGGGTTACACATGGGGCTGCTAACTGCAAAGTCTGCAGTTCAAAACCACGAGCTGAACCAAGGGAGAAGGATGAGGATTTTTCCTCTCATAAAGATGCAAGGCCCCAGAAACACACGGGGGTAGTTCTACTCTGTTCTATAGAATCATTGTGAGTCAAAATTGAGTCAGTGGTAGTGAGTTTTGAGTGTGACCCAAAGCCCATTACCGCCAAGTCGATCCAGACTCATCGTGACCCTATAGGACAAAGCAGTGCTGCCCCATAGGGTTTCCAAGCGGGTGATCTGTGTGGAAGCAGTCTGCCACATCTTTCTCCTATGGGACAGCTGGGGAGTTGAAGTGCCCTCCCACCAGTTAGCTTAACCCCTGAGTGCCATGACTCCTCAAAGCACAGCATATTCATTATCACACAAGTAGATTTTAGTATTTTCCCATAGTCTTACATACCATGTGCCACTTGATGACTTGGGTTCCCTGTTTTAAAATTCAACTATTTCTGTTACTATTTGTATTAGTCTGGGTACTTTAGATAAACAAATCCACAGAAACTCATGTATAAGAGAGAGTTTTATATAAAGGGTAAGTGCACATCAAGAAAACATCCCAACCCAGTGCTGCCCAAGTCCACAAGTCCAACATTAACCCATATGTCCAACACCAATCCACGAAGTCCTCCTTCATCTCACAAAACACATGCACCCTTTTTAACCAGTGGGAAAGTAGAACTACTAATATGGACTGACATGCAAGACCGTGAGGAGGTGGAGAAGCTCCCTGGCCACGGGCCCTTCACACTACAGCTGGCTGCCTGGTTTGTTCAGTCCACTGCAAAGCATAGAAGACATGTTTCTCACATTTAAATACTCGCTTGACAGTCTTCTGAGCAGGCCTGCATCGTAGAGTTTATATAAAAGAGAATCACTCTGATAATTTCTGGTAAAGACCACAGACTTTCAGGGTGGTGCGGGAGTTCCCATACTTGCTGATATTTGGTTCCTTAGATCCTGCTACTTTCGTGCCACTGCCTCAGTAGCCTGAATGCGCAGGACAATGACGTAGGAATTCACAGCGGGACTTCAGGAGCACCTACCACCATCAACCACTGGGGGCAGTATAATCCAGGCTAGCAAAGTATGTGGCTGCTGTCTGGACCCACCAGGTCCCAGTGTAGTATGCCGATTGGTTCCAAGGGATCTCAAATACAAGAATATGCTAGAATGGAAACAAAGCCCGGCCCTGACGTGGTTTATGTTGGATCCAGGCACATAAACTCCATGGACACGAATTCCCAAGGCTTCAGGCTAACATAATGTCACTTATGGGGCACAGTAAGGAAAAGTAAGTCACTTGTTCTGTAAACCATTTACATCCTTTGGAGTGTTCTCCAGCAGCCGCATGCGTCTGTTCTAGATTCCTGTCCTTTGTTGTGGCATGTCTTCATCCTGGGTTTTGTTTTCTTTCCACTGCCCTCCCCACAACCCCCCCACCTTGCAGAAAAGGACAAGGGCGACCTGATTGGGCAATATTTGGCAGACTTACTGAACACAATGAGACAATTCTGTTCAAAGAGAAGTTTCTGGATTGGACGGAACTGAAGAGACCAAACGAGAAGAACGCCGGCGAGCCCAGCCAGCAGAAGGTAGTCCTTATGGCTGCCCTGTGGCTGCACTTGGATTTCCTGGGCCCCCACAGCTCCCTGCCATTGAGGAGATTCTGACCTGTGGTGACTCTATAGGACAGAGTAGAACTGCCCCTGTGGGTTTCTGAGATTCTATAAATCTTGATAGGAGTAAAAAGCCTCATTATCTCGCATAGCAGCTCCTGGTTTAGAACTGCTGACCCTGAAGTATACTGGGTTTCAATTACCTTCCAACTCCCGGAAGTGAAAATCTCATTTGCTCCGCCTTTGCTGGGAGTGGACTAGGGTTGAGGGCACCGTGCACACCAGGGTGAGGATGGAAATTCAGACTTCCCAGGCCTTTCCCCTAAATGCAGTAGAAACATGAGACACCTGAGACAAAGTCTGAAGGCAGCACGTTTACCCTTCAGGACAACTCAATTGGCATTGAAGGTGAGCAAAACCACTCTGGAAAGAGCGGTGGCTAAGCAAAGGCTCTCGTGTTCCCTGGTAGGAAGATCCTCGGGCCGAGGTCAAGCCGTACGATGTGACCCGGATGGTGCCCGTGCCGCAGACGGCCACCGGCAGTGTCCTCGATGGGGTGAACGTGGGCCGTGGCTACGGCCTGGTGGAAGGTGATGACCGGCGGCAGTTTGAGATAGCCAGTGTTACGGTGGATGTCTGGCACATCCTGGAGTTTGACTACAGCCGGCTCCCCAAGCAGAGCATTGGGCAGTTCCACGAGGGCGACGCCTATGTGGTCAAGTGGAAGTTCATGGTGAGCACTGCAGGTCAGTGAATGCTTCTGTTCTTTCTGAGCATGTGAGGCCCGAGGGCGGCTGGGCAACAGGGCGGTGAGAGCAGAGTATTGCTTGCCCACTGAGTTCTGGGGCCCCTGGGTGGTGCAAATCATTCATTAGTCTGCCTGCCTGCACTCCACAAGGTGGGAGGATCGATTCCACCATTCTACTTCCCCAAATCGCAGCCATTGCAAACCCCGATGAGCTCAGTCCTTCTCACACACCTGGGGCCACTGGTCTTGCAGAATCACTTGCCAGCCCTTAAAAGAAGCACCTTACGATCCCCAACAGCCGAGCTTCTCCAGCCCTGGGGATGTTTTCACATGGAAGCCACATGTGTCCGTGAAGGTTTCGCAAGTGCCCTCGTTCCCGCCCCCACTCTGCCTGCCCCCACCCGATCCGTGAACGTGATTTGCCTCCAGTGATATCTAAGCAGCTATCTGCTGGCTAAATTCAAATCATTAAAGAAAAGCCCATCTGCGTGATTTAAAATGGAAACCAAAGGAGAAAACAAAATACCTCTAGTAAGAAGCGCTTTATGGTAAACCATAAACGAAAAAGAAAGTCATTTCTGCGGAGGCCCAGTGCAGGAACGCTGCTTTGTGCTCAGGGGTGATCATGACAGAGTGAAACTCCCCTTTGTAGCAGAACCCCTCACCGGTGCGCCTGCTGCACTAGAGGCAGTCGGGGAGGGAGAAGGTCGTGCTTACGCCAGGCCTGTGATCCGGGGCCCCAACTAACAAGAGAGGTTTTCTCCCGTGCCAGGCCCCTTTGCCAGCTCAGAAGGTTCCTGGGAGCCACAAGCAGTTTGTGCTCAGCAGGTGACCAGAGGTGGGCAATGGGAACCCCCTCCAGCAGCACCACAGCAGGAAGGCCTGGCCCTCTGAGTCTGTAAAAGATGACAGCCGAGGAAAGCCCACGGAGCGGTTCTCCTCGGACACACGTTGAGTGGCCACAGGTCTGTTTGGGCTTCCTACCGTCCGGGTGTGGCTGTGCTCAGGAGCTACTGGAAACAGTTTGTTTCCTCAACCAGGACTTGGAGCCAAGACAAACAAACAAATAAAAAGACCTGCAGGTGTGTAGCCAAGTGTTTTCTATCCTGATAGACGGACAGAATGACTCGATCAGTCACCCTAGATTTACTGAGTAACCCACCCTGTGACTTCCGGAAGACAGACTTCAGGTACAAATGACCACGGGGCCATATGTCATGCTCTTTGTAGAGAGCAGGAAGTCGTTCAGCTTGGTTGTGACCCGAGTGGACGAAGCCCAGCAAGCCTGGAGCTGGGGAGTAAGCGGAGGGAGAACTCCTGGGCATGGCAGCAGGGCAGTGAGGGGGGTTGGTTTGGGGAGGGGGGGTCTGCGCTCCGACCCAGGTCTTCTATCCCTGGGCTAATTTCTAAGGTGAGGCAAGAGAGAGAGTGAGCCCAGGGAACCTGCCTGAAGTCACATGACTGGTAGAGGATCCCAAGTGGAGGTTGTCATGAAGCACTAGCCAGTTAGCCCACAGACAGGGAGTCAGTGTGGACCCATGAGCAGGACATGGGGAGTGTTACACAGATGGGCAGATGGGCCCAGTCACCAGGCTGAACCCACAGCACTGCCAACCAGAGACCAGGCTGCCAAATTAGCATCTTCTGGGACTTCAACAGCGGCTCAGCAGGAACAGGGTCTGCCAGGGGTTGGGGCAGAGCCAGGCTGGCAGCCTCTCGGGAACCAGTGGGCTCGCCCAGGACTCTGGTGTGTGCTGGAGATTACCCCGTTACAGGGCACTGCTCAGTGGCGTGATTTCTCAGAAGCCTCAGAACAGCCCCTTCCTCTCCCCTAAGGGCGGCCCCAGGCCCTGGAGTCTGAAAGCCCGGCTCTCTCTGCCCGGCCCTCTCTGAAAGCTTGGCAGGGTGGGTAAAGTTACCTAGCCTTTTACAGCCTCCTTTCTCTCACCTGGAAAATACGGGCCACATAACTCATCTCCCAGACTTTTGTAATCTTGTGTGTGAGCCGCCAGGTGCCTGGCCGCATGCACAGGGTAGCTGCAGGGTGGGATCCCAGTGGCATCCAAGTGGAATGGGGAGGGGCAGGCATAGGCCTGTCCCAAACCAAGAGCCATTCCTAAAAAAAACGCAGGTCAGTCTCGAATGGGTTTAAGATCCTTGATCTGCTGCAGGGCTGACGGACCAAATTAATCATCTGTGCTGATGACAAAAACAATAAGGAATTGTGTTGTTGTGTGTGCTGTGTATTATGTGAGTGTGTTGTGTGTGTATGTACGTTTGAGTGCGTGAGTATGTGAGTGTGTGTGAATGTGGGCATGTGTGTATGGTATGTGAGTGTGTGTGTGTGGTGTGTGTTATGTGACAGTGTGTGTATGTGAGTGTGTGTATGGTGTTAGTTTGATGTGTGTGTTGTGTGTGAGTGAATGTGTGAGTGCGTATTTGTGTGTGTTGTGTGTGACGGGGAGATGAGTGTGTACAGTGTAAGTTTGATGTGTGTGAGTGAATGTGTGAGTGTGTATTTGTGTGTATTGTGTGTGATGTGGGGAGGTGAGTGTGTGAATAGTGTAAGTTTGATGTGTGTGTGTTGTGTGTGAATGAATGTGTATGTGAATGTGCATATGTGTGTTGTGTGTGGGTGTATATGTGAGTGAGTGTGTGATGTGGGGAGTGGTGTGTATAGTGTAAGTTTGATGTGTGTGGTGTGGGGAGATGAGTGTGTATAGTGTAAGTTTGATGTGTGTGTTGTGTGTGAGTGAATGTGCGAGTGTGTGAATGTGTATATGTGTGTTGTGTGTGAGTGTGTGTGATGTGGGGAGGGGTGTGTACAGTGTAAGTTTGATGTGTGTGAGTGAGTGTGTGATGTGGGGAGGGGTGTGTATAGTGTAAGTTTGATGTGTGTGTTGTGTGTGAGTGTGTGTGTGAGTGTGTGAATGTGTATATGTGTGTTGTGTGTGAGTGTGTGATGCGGGGAGTGGTGTGTATAGTGTAAGTTTGATGTGTGTGTTGTGTATGAGTGTGTGAATGTGTATATGTGTGTTGTGTGTGAGTGAGTGTGTGATGCGGGGAGGGGTGTGTATAGTGTAAGTTTGATGTGTGTGGTATGTGTGAGTGTGTGTGTGGTGATGGGACCCACCCAGTGGAGTTGAGGAGGCCGTGGGGACTGGAGTGGGTGTCCAGGTTCCCATCTTTGACCCCAGGAGGACACAGCAGCTCACGCCAAGACAGTTGCCTTTTGGATTGTACTGCCCTCGGCTGGGAAAGAAACCCTCAGAAGTGTGGGGATGACTGGGGGAGTGAGCGGGATGCTGTTACAGCGTTTTCCTTTAAACGATCCAAGAGCTCCATAGCCGAGTTACGTGAAGGTCGTTAAAACGTAATGAGCTGACCACAGAGGCTTGCTGGCTGGCTGCACAAGCATCTCACAGCCGGTTAGCGCATCATCGTCATGAGCGAACTTAGAGCTGTGGAAAAGAGCATTGAACTTGAGCAGGGAGCATTCCGATTCCAGGCCGTCCCTGGGGAGCCATAAGCAGAGGCCTCTGCTGTTTGTGGTGGCCCTAAAGCTGGCCGCAGCGGATCCAGCCCTCCGATGGAACAATGGTCAGCGCTCAGCCGCCACCCAAAAGCCACTGAGTGGCTCCTCGGGGGAAAGACCCCGCCTTCCTGCTCCTGTAAACATCACAGACTAGGAGACGCTCCAGGCAGTTCTGCACGTAGGGCTGCTGCGAGTCTGAGTGGTCCTGCCTCGCTGGTCCCCACAAGGACTGGACCTCCGCAGGCAGGATGAACACAGAGAGAGTCCTCGGCCCTCCCCTGGGACAGGGCCAGCAGGGCAAAGCAGCTGTCGAGGCAGTCAGTCTGCCCAGGCACACGTGGAGGTGCCGTGGGAAGAGCAGAACCTGGGGGCCAGAGGAGGGGAGACTAGTCAGGTGAGACCCCAGTGGGTTGGTGGTGTAGCCCACTGACCGCCTCAGGTGCTGAGTTAGGAGAAAGCAGCTCCTGCTACAGCACCATGCTGGGTCGGGCCTTATGCAAAGGCGATGCGGAACAGCTTGCAGATGTCGGTGGTCAGTGCAGTAAGTCTTGGTGCAAAGCTGCTGGGCCCGAGCAAGTCTTCCTACCTCAGTGCTCTGCTTGACCTGAATGGAGAACTTAGTGGCCGCAGACTTGCTCTTGTAAGGATTTCGGTGGCATGGCATGTGTACACATCACATTCAGCGTTGGATTGATCGATTGATCGAGTCTAGAAATATTACAATGCAAACACTCTTATTACACCTGCTGCTCCTCTGTTGATACTCTGTTGACACTCTTGTTCTCTGACATTTCACATGTGCGATGAGGGGAAAGTCTACTGTCTGGCCGTTTTGTTCATTCATGGTGTGCATCTGGCAGTAAGCAATACCTAGGTGTGAGTTCGGGATCACACTGTGGTCAGTCTGGGCCACGATGCTCAGGGGGAGGCACGTAGGTAGTGATGCCATTCAGCCGTGACTTCTTGGTGTGTTGCCACCTTCCATTTTCATAGAAGAACCCGGCCTTTGGAGCCTGACCATGTTGACAAGTGAGGAATGGGTGTGATTAAAACTTAACTTGGCTAGAATGAAAAAAATGAATGATTGAATTAAAAATAAAGTTACATATAAGATTAAAGTTGATATGTTGAAGAAAATGGTAAGGAAAATTGGTGAAAGATCCATCTTATGAACTATTTTAAAAGAAATGCAGGGCTGTATTAAGTATATACACTCAAGTCTATTATAGAAGGTTAGGGTGTAGAAGCTAGTGATCTATGCATGAATGAATATGGTGATATATTTGCTAAACAGTTTTAAGGTGTGTATAAATGGTAGGTTTTAATTACAGCTTTCCCCAGTAATCTAATTGATGCTGCTATTTTTCACTACCTTGAGGTACAAACTTTCACTAGTTTGAAGAAAAAACTTTTGTTTCTGTCTAAGTTTGCAGAACTTGCAATTAAATGACTTTTGAGTTACTTTAGGGTATTTATAGCCCATTCACTACGTATTCCCTTTTCATATTGCCCACTTACAAATACACAGATTTTCTAACATCAGATCCATAGCAGATGTCACTGGAGACTGTTTATTCTAAAATAGCTTAAGAAATGATTCCATTTATTTATAATAAGTGATCCATAAATACTTGACCTCTTAGGAACTGAAATGAGGATTTTTCCCCTCCTTCTGTTTACCTTCCATATTAACTGTTCAATATAACTTCAGTTTAGCTTATTTAATAAATTGGATGAGGACTGAGATAAATATGGAGGCAGAGAGACCCAAGTTAACTTAATGAATTTTTAATGTGTGCGGTGTTACATCTACCTGCAGTCTCCCTCTCACAGACCCCTCGCTTACTGATACCACCCAGGCATTGACGTCAAGAATCTGGTCTCCTGTCTCTGCTAGAAGTTCTGCTCCCAGATCATTACCATGCAGGGCTCAGCTCCCACGTGGCCCAGCTCCCAAGGAAGGCTGTGGGCGCACCACCTCATCCCGAGGCTCCGTCTAGCTCACTTCGGTACCTGAAGTGATCTCGTTCACCTATTTGCTTCTTGTTTGTGTCTGTCCACTGCTTAGGACAGCAGCGAGGACTTCCTCTCTCTTCATTCAGTGCAGCCCCAGGGTCCTGGCTCGTAGTGGGTGCTCTGTAGATATTATTTGTTTGGACAGACGGGTGAAGGGAATCTAAAGTTGGAGACGTGAAGGGCTGAAATGCTATCTAAAAGGACCGTTTGACCCATGAGCCTTCCGGGATGACTCGTTAGCGCCAGCGGTTCTATCTGCTCTGTGTCCTCAGCTAATGGTCATGGAGGCCTGCAAGGTGCCGGCTGGCCAGGATCCGAAGTTCTGAATCCTGGCCACAGCCCTGGTGAGAGATGTTATTTAAACCCCAGCTGATTGTACGAGCATGATATGTCAGCAATGTCTCTGTTCCATTTCTGACCGAACTTGGGAACTTCTCATTGTTTTTTCAATCCTCCCTGGAGTCCCGTTAGCGGTTATCTTTTTTTCTCCTTTGTGCTGGACGCTGGGCCCACTGTTGTCCCCCACTGTTGTTGTCGATAGCTCTTCTCTGCCAGCCAGTGTTCTGCCGAAGAGGGCGCAGATGTGGAAATGCGCGTGTCTCGGCGAGGCTGGGGTCCTGCTCTCAGTCCCCCGTTCGCTCCCGCACACCTGGAGTTGCCTGTGCCCTCCTCCAAGGATAGCAAGTGGTTTCCTCAGGGTGTCGAGGGGGCCCTTCCGATCACTTCCGTCCGGTCTGGAAGCTCCCGGTCAGATCGCTGGAAGAAAGGCGGTCTGTCTGTCTCCTCCAGTGTGAGGATTCATGCTCGCTCCGGGGGGTGAGCGGTTCCTTCCCACCTCTGACCTGTGTCCCAAGGTGCTCCCTCTCATGACTGCGTTGCCCCTCAGGCCTGAGGGATGAACGTGGTGGCTGCGCTGTTATGCCCAGTTGCCAGTTGCCGGCCTCATGCTCCACTGTCTGTCTGTTCGCAGTGGGGAGTCGCCAGAAGGGGGAGCATGTGGTGAGGGCGGCCGGCAAAGAGAAGTGTGTCTACTTCTTCTGGCAAGGCCGGCACTCCACGGTCAGCGAAAAGGGGACGTCGGCACTGATGACGGTGGAGCTGGATGAAGAAAGGGGTGCCCAGGTAAGCCCCACTGAAGAGTGGCTTCATCAGAATAAGAGGGACATGGGAGCTTCTCCTGTGTCCTAGCTGGAACACGGGCGGGGGGCAGGGGGGGGGGCGGTGGACAGCTGGGGGCTGGTCCCTGACAACCTGATCCTAACGAACAGAGACAACCTCATCCAAAGCCCTTTCTACCCTTCGCTTTCCCCACCAGTGCTCAGATTTCCTCTCACAGGGACTAAGCCAGGATGGCCTTCCGGTTGTAATACGATTCCAAACAGATGGAATGAGTGGCCCCCAAACTCCTACTGGAAAGTCTTTCCATGAAAAAAGAGAGAGATGTAATTTTCCACTTCCAAGACTGATAACTCAGTACCATCAAGTTAATTCCAACTCATATCGACCCTACAGGATAAAGTAGAGCTGCCTCTGTGATTTTTCCAAGCCTGAATCGTTTTATTTATTCATTCATATATATTTTTTAAATTAATCATTTATTGGGGACCCTCACAAATCTTACAACAATGCATCATTTAATAGTATTAAGCACACTTGTACATAGGTTGCCATCAACATTTCCAAAGCAATTTCTTTCTACTTGAGCCCTTGGTATCAGCTCCTCTCTTTTTCCCCTCCCTCCCCACCCTTGTGAATACTTGATCAATGATACATGTTCTTGTTACTTCATGTCTTACACTGTCAAGGCTGAACCTGTTTAAGAATACAAAGCCTCATCTTTCTTCAGCAAAGCATTTGGTGGTTTCAAAGTGCTAGCCTTGCAGTTAGCAGCCCAACGTGTAACCACTGCGCTGCTGGGGCTCCTTCTAAAGCTGGTAGAGATGGTGTGTTAGGTAGGTTCTCCAGAGAAACAAAACCAGGACAGTGACGATTTTATATATAAGAGGATAGGTGTATACACCCAGAAGGAATGTAACAGCTAATTAATCCATACAGCAGGACAGAGGGCTCAGTTCAGCTCACTTTCATGGAACAGTTAATATACTGAAAGTCTTTCAACTCAGGTGGGCTACTGGAAGTCCTTCAACTCAGGCCCAAGGTCAAGGAAGCAGACATCAGAGTCCTCCCTCGGGCAAGGCAGGCAGAGTCTGCCTATAGTCGGCAAACAGCTGAGTGGGTCAGCAACAGTCAGTAGCTCAGGAGCTTAGTGAAGCAGGCCTAGATAGGATATTGAACTCAAGCAATGCAAGGCAACAGGATCTACCAGCCTCAAGCTCAAGGGACAGGATCCACAGGTTGGCTTTTCCCACAGGTAGTGTAGCACACAGGTTGAGGCAGAGAACTAGTTAAAGCAGTAGCACCCTAGTCTGATCACCAGAGAGCAAGAGAGATGGGGGTGGGCCTTGCAGAGCCATTGATCCATTTGCCCTCCAATCAAACTGCAATGTGATTAATCTGACATGTTCCTATTGGCCAGGTTGGCATAATAAACCAAACTTTCACAGATGGTTATAAGAGTAGAGCTGATGTTGGTGTTTATACAACAGGATGGCTATTCTAGTGCATATCTGTTTCTCTGAAAAGCAGTTTTGGTTTGAATCCTAATGCCTGTGGGCTTTGATTGACTATTCTGCTTACACAAATCAATTCTAAGGAAATATTATAGATTAAGGTACACATTAAGTTTTTACTGTCAATACACCTTCTAGCAGCCCAGGTGATTTTTTTCTGGAGCAGAAATCAGCTTACTTCATTGCTCTTTGTCAAATATGGATACAATCTAAGTCTTGAGATGTTCTGCCAGGACCTTCATGGTCAGTCCAACACACCTTTGCAGCCCCTCCCAAGCCACCCCAGCATTGTTCCTCAGACACACATTGCTCCTCCTAGCTTGGGGCCTTTGCACTTAGTATTTTTCCATTTGGGATGCCCTAACTCTCTATCAACTTCATAGAGTGGTTTCTGTTCAGATGCCCACCTATCCATTGTATCCAAATCACTTCACACTCCAATTATTCTCTGTCCCTTAACCATGCAGTTTCTCCCTACCCCCCACCCCCACCCCACCCACTTGTTACTTACCCCGGTGTAAAGTTGTATCATTATTTCATTTGTTTCCTCAGTATCTATCTTCCCCTTTGAGCTTGAAAGGAACCACGTCTTTCCTGACTTTGTAACCCCCAGTGTCTTGAGCAACAGGCCTGCTGTGCCCTGTAGGTGCCAGCGTCGGAATGGCAGTGAGTCTGGTTTTTCAGCGGGTCTGGTTTGGCCTGCATGATGGCTGGCAGGCACTGCTGCCCAAATGGAACGTTTTGTAAACATGTCTTTGGGATGTTTGGGATAGCTATGCCTCTTGTCCCATCATTTAGTACCTATAATTAACACTGGCTGGTTTGGGTTTTTTAAAAGAAATATCTCACCATCTGCTGATGTTTCCCGTCTTGGATGAATGGTTAGCATTAGCATTGAGGGAAGAGAATAGAGGCCTTCTTCTAGAAATACTGAACACTCCCCAAGCCTTCCGGAGCACCAAGACCCAGTCCTCTTTCCCTAGAAAATACAGGTAGTGCCCAACTTACACCATATTCGAGTCACAACACGCCACACGTCAGACCATCTGTTTGTGGGTGTGAGTGCATATATCTTCTTGTTAGTAATACGTACTACATACAGTGTTGGCAGCGTGTAATTGGATGATGTTATCATTCCCAGATGTTCACTTGCAGATGTTCAAGTGGTAAGATTTACTGTCCCAGATACTGCTGTATTGTGGGTTATAAAAACTTTTCTTTTTTAAGAGGTCTATTGATTTGATTTCCATCAGGACTGACTGAGCACACTGCCATCAGAACTTGGGGACCGCCTCTACTTAAGGGCCTAGATTCTACCATTGACTGTGCTTTTCAATGAGTTGTTAGCAACAGTTACGTTTTGGTTTCTAATTGTTGGTGACTTCAGCTGTACTTTTATACATTTGTTTGCTCTGGGAAAGGCCAAGTCATCCCGTTGGAGGAGCAGGCCTGGGTGGGGTTTCCTCAGACCTCAGGGTGTTGCCTTTGAGTGCAGAGTCAGAATCGCTCCAGTTTGAGCATTCTCTTTTCATCACTAGCTGCTGGAAGATCATGTTAGGCAGTTGACCCACTGACACCAATGGTCCTTGGCTATGTGGAATTGGGCATGACTTGTTGTTGGGCGATGTTGAGTTGGTACAAGAGAAGGGCACACTGCTCGGTCTGTGCCATCGTCACCATCATTGCTTTCTTTGAGCCCATCGTTGCAGCCCTGTGCCAGGCCATCCGGTTCAGGCGTCCTCTTTTCCACCGGCCCTCTGCTTTACCAAGCATGCCGCTCTCCAGGGGCTCATCCTGCCTGATAACAAAGTAATAAGCCAGGCTCAGTTTCGCCATCCTTGTTTCAAAGAACATTCTTCTGGCGGTCTTTGGTCTATTCAATATGCTTTGACACCGTAATTATTGGCAAGTTAACTCATGGTGAGAAATGCTTCCTACCCGTTGCACATCACCAAGCCTAAAACCGAACTCACTGCCATCAAGGCAATGCCAACTCTTAATGAAAGATCCTATAGAACAGGGTAGAACTTCCCGTGAGTTTTCGAGACTCTAACTCTTTACGGGAGTCAAGACCGTTTCTTTGTCTCTGAGTGGCTAGTGGTTTCGAACTGCTGCCCTTGCATTTAGCAGCCCAAAGCATAACCACCAGGGCTCCTGTGAAAGATTATGTACCGGCCCCTGGGAAAAAAATATGTAAATCCTAATTTTATGCCTATAGTTAGAATCTCATTTTAGAATCCGATGTCTTTGTTGTGTAAACAAGGCAGGAATAGTACGGGGCATGTCTGGAGTCAATCTCTTCCGAGATACAGTGGAGACAAGATGAACAGAGCAGCCATGCTGCGCTGGGACGAGATGACTGTGCACACACATGCAGCACTCCAGGGAACCAGAAACTCAGGTGACGAGGGCCTTCCTCCAGAGCCCACAGAGAGAGGATGGCTTCGCCCTGGAGCAGGGGCTGGCAAACTTTTGAGACAGGAGAGCCGGTCCTGCCCCTCACAATAATTTAAAAATTATTTGGTAGTTTTACAAACAAATGAGATCCCCATTATCTGAATAATATCTTTAGTCTCAGTTGTCGCTCAGAGGCACAGGTGCGTACTGAAAGAGCCGCGTGTGGCTGCGAGCGGCAGTTTGCCGCAACCCCTATCCGAGAGCCATGGTCTAGGCTCGGGCCTCTGGCCTCCGAAACTGAGAGGAAATAAGTTTGTGGGTTAAAGCCATCCACTGTGGTGTTTCTGTGACTGCCACACCAGGAAACTAAGACACTGCCTTTTAATGCTCCCAGAGGGCCAGGTTCAACGAACGATTCCCTCTCTGAGGAAGGATGTGAGAGAGTTGAGTCAACTTGAACGTATTATATGTGGTACAGTTAGGACCTGGGGGAAGAGAGTGCTTTCACATGCACGGCAGAGGTTGTGTGTGTGCAGCACATCCATCTGTAAGTGGAGTATTGGCGTGACTGTGAGAAAAAAGGAGAAAAACACCTGAATCTCCACAACTGCCAAGTCAGCGAGTAGTCGTTCTCAGTGCTGAGAGATCTGCGTTGCTAGAAATGTGTTTAAATCCGTTTTGGCACAGCTGTAGGTTGGCGGTTTGAGCCCACCACTGCTCCACGGGAGAAGATGAGGCAGTCTGCTTTGGTAAAGATTTACAGCCTCAGAAGCCCCAGGGAGAAGTGCTACTCTAGAAAGTCGTTGTGAGTCACATTTGTGTGGTTGGTTATATCTTGAACAGCATTAAAATATCAAAATTGATTTTTTAAAGTAATGTAAGGAAACATTAGTGAAGAAAGCAACAAAACAGCAAATGTATGTGGGGTTTATACAAAAAATAGATAAGGAGGCTTCCAAAAATTCATGGAAAAATAGAAAGAAAGGATCCTGGGAACTTTCTCAGCCTTCTGAAGCCCTCTTGTCACTGAGGGGTGCTCTGAGAGCCGTTACCCCTGGGGTGCCTCAGTGGTTTTCCTCCCGTAACAGGATTCTTGTTGGTCTCACTTTGCTTTTCTTGGTATTTTTCAGATTTTCTATGAGAAGCACATATTATGTGTATGATTTTGAAAAACCATTAAATGTTATGTTACCCACCCCCACCTCCCACATGTGTTTAAATCTCCAGGTCCAGGTGCTTCAAGGGAAGGAGCCCCCCTGTTTCCTGCAGTGTTTCCAGGGAGGAATGGTGGTACACTCGGGGAGGCGGGAAGAAGAGGAAGAAAATGCGCAAAGTAAATCACCTTTACTGTTGGGATTCCATTGCTCTCGCGTGCGCTGTCTCTGTCTCTCTCCTGGAAGGTATTTTTATAGACAGGAGGTTTAAGACGGTCTCTCTTCATAAAGCCGTGGCTTTACCACCACAAGCCTCCGAATGTTTTCCTTATCACTCAGCTTTATGAGGAGTGTGTAAACCCCCGTGGAGTTCACTTCAGGAACTAATTTGGCAGGAACGAGGCTGGAAGATTATTTCATATTTAACGGAATTTCACCTCACTACGGCTCTGTCTGTTCTTTATAGTGGGAGTGGGAGAAGGCATGGATCTTATGTTAAAAATCGTCAGATTTTTTTATGGTCAGCATCCAACTGAAAAATCGCTTTGGAGCCTTTTTTAAAAAAAAAAATTCCTGTTACATCACTTAGCAAGGCATTTTACACGTTTCGTGGAAAAGAACCGTTTTTGTGCACCACCACCTTTTGGCAGGCGAACTGTGACAGGATTGGCCTTCTGGAGAAGCAGTTAGGCTGCGTGCTCAGCATGCTTCTGGGTGCAACAGGCGCAGCCCCCATGGCAGCCCAGCGTTCCTCTCCCGGAGTGTGATTGTACATGTGGTGGAGGGCAGGAGGCTAGAATGGCAGCCGTTCCAGGCTGTCTGCACGGGGGCAGCCTAACTCTGTGCTTCTGGTGCCCCCTGCAGGTGAGTGGAGGCTGTACTGTGTGCGAGGAGAAGTCCCTGTGGAAGGGAATTTGCTGGAAGTTGCATGTCACTGTAGTAGCCTGCGGTCTAGGACGTCTATGGTCGTGCTCAACGTCAATAAAGCCCTCATTTACCTGTGGCATGGATGCAAAGCACAGGCCCACACCAAGGAGGTTGGACGGACTGCAGCGAATAAAATCAAGGAGCAGTGAGTATTCTCGGTCCATAGCACACTCCCCAGCCACTGAGCCTGCCCAGCAGACCCCACTGAGAAGAGTCCCTGGCCTGGAGGCCTCACTGAGCTTCAGGATCATGCCTCCCCTCTCCAGCTGAGGGAAGGATGTCTGGGGAGTAGGCAGTTTGCAATAGAGAACACAAAGAGGCTGAGAGGACCCCCAGGGTCCCAGTCCCCTTGCGCTTGATGTCACTTCAAGAAATGTCAGAGACGTCTGACTTCCTGAGAGATCCAGCACCCCTCTCGGCTGAATCTTAGGGCTTCCCTCCCCCACTTTTTTAAAAGTGTACCTGCACAGAGGGCCAGGGCAAGGACCCCACAGGTGTTTCCATGTTTTCCTATGCAGGCATGATTCCACTTTTGAGCTATAAGCCCAGGGACCTGTAGTATTTAAAGAGAGCAAGCTTCCTCTATCTTTTAAGGGATTCAGGGTTATGTCTGAACAGTGGAATGCGAAAGAACATTTAGCTGAAGAAGAGTGTGTGGTCAGACCGTCAGACATCTGTTTCCGAGAGAACCACGGCACCGCTCTCTCCTGAAGGCAGCCCACTGGGCACTGGGGAATTCATCCCGGGGCCAAGGCCACCCTGCCCTGCAGACACCCACCCTTCAGAGGTCAGAGCTCAGCGTGCTAAGGCATGAAGTGAGGAACTTAGAGAAGAAGTCGCACCGATGCTAGGGGCAGTAAGATGAAGCCAAGGGCAAGCACAGCACTCAGTCAGGTGCACCACCCTGTCCTTGGCACCATTGCAGATGCGAGCGGCCAGTGCATCTGTGCACCCCCACACAGGGTGGGAGACTCACTCGGACAAGTCCCAGAGCCGGGTGCTCTGCGCTTTCTCACACCGGGGTCTGCACAGACCTTGGCGACGCCCTGACAGTAAAAATGCTTTGTTTCCTGGGAGCTCAGGGCACCACCAAAGTGCCACTCGTACAAGTCGTCTGGGAGCCAGAGTCGGGCGTCTGCGCCCACTGCTTCCCGACAGCTGCCAACCCAGTGCTGTGTCGACAGGACTGAGAGGAGAAGGGAGACTATGTGTCACCGGGGAGGGATGGTAAATGAAGCTCAGGGCGGTCCCCAGAGGCTCCAGGGATTTTTCACGAAGTCATGCATGCCTGTATTGAATGCTCATTGAGCACTCCTTTGTGCTCAGCACAGTTGTAAGCACTAGGGATTTCCAGTACACAAGCCCTGTCCTGTCCTGTCCTGTGGGCACCTGGATCTGAAAAGGAGGAGAAGCAGCATTATCTGTGGAAGTCCAGCACCTCCCCCATAGCTTCACCAGGGTGACCTATAGATTATATTTTCATCATTCGTTTATATATCATTATACACTCCTCCCTGAGGTCAAATCCCATTTCTGCCCCATTCCCGCCACACACACACACTCATAATCACTGGAGCATTTTCTTTTGTATCTGTTTGTCAGAATTGCTTTTTATCAGAAAGCCGAACAAGAGAAAGAGGTGGAGAGAGTGAGTCTTGAAGAGTGTGGAGCGATGACACTTTGAGGGCTTATTTAAAAAACAAGTGGGGTTTCTCTTCGACAGGTGTCCCCTGGAAGCAGGACTGCACAGTAGCAGTAAAGTGACCATACATGAGTGTGATGAGGGGTCGGAGCCGCTGGGATTCTGGGACGCGCTGGGACGGAGAGATAGGAAAGCCTATGACTGCATGCTGCAAGGTAACACGGTCCTTTCTTCATCTGATAAACCTCCCTTCACTACTCGAACCAGTGGGTATTTATTGAGCAAATCATTCTGGACGCTGAAACCACAGAAATGGATGTCAAGGTAGACTGCGAGTGAGAGTGGTCCTGCGGTGGTCAGGAGCAGGGAGGGTTACCAACTGAGGAAGTTAAGAAACAACGGGGAAATAAAGAACAATCACTGGAGGGACCTCTGGGTAAAGAGTATGACTTTTAAGTGGGCTACACAGCTGCAGTACTAACTGGAAAGGGGGTGGTTCAGACCCCCCAGGCGCTCCTCGAGTAAAGAGTTCGTCTCAGAAACCCAATCTCAGGTCCCTGTGCGTCAGAAGGGACCCAGAGCAGTGGGTTTGGTCTAGGTTTATGTTTCTGTGTGCCCTCTGTACTAAACTGTCCAGACGGGATGGTCGGGGTACAAAATCTGCCGGGGCTAGGGATCAAGGGAAATTTAGCCTTGGGTAGGGGAGCAAGATCCTGTGCTACCTGCCCAGCGTGATGCTGAACATGGTGTCGGCCCTTTGGCAATCTACGTTGTCAGCTAGAGATGAAAAGAGATGGCCCCTGGGTGGACGGAGAGTAAAGCTGTCCCCTGAGGACACACGTTGGTGTACACAGCACTGGCTGCCCAACACCCTGCGTCTACTTCATGGGGTTCTGATGCTTGTGTTCTAGGCCTTCTCCACTCCCCAAATAAATCAATACCATTTTCCTTCAGAATATGTATCTGGCGCTTAGCCTTTGGGCTGCTAGCTGCAGGCTTGGCGGTTTGAACCCCCCAACTGCTCTGAGGGAGAAAGATGAGGCTGTCTATTCCCATACAGAGTTACTGTCTTGGAAGCCCTGTGGCAAGAATCCATTCCGGGGCAGCGGGTTTGGTTGGGTTCATTTGTTGAGCATCTCACTCTTCTCTCTCCCAGGACTAGTTGAATGTGGGCATCAAGGTAACAGTCATGTCCTCCCCCCACCCCCTCGAAAACCTTCTTGTTGTTCAGATACACTGTCTCGAAGTGGCTCCTTTTGAGAGTGAAGCCTACGCACAGGGTCTTCTTGACGACGATGTTTACAGAGGCAAACTGCCAGGCCTCTCTCCAGCAGAGTTGCTGGGTGGGTTCCAACTGCCAGCCTTTCAGCTGGCACGTAACCATTGTGCCACCAAAAACTCACTGCCACCAAGTCACTTCTGACTTCAAAGGCCCTTATAGGACAAGGTAGAATTGCCCATATGGATTTCTGAGACTTAAGACTCAATGGGAGTAGGAAGATTCGTCTTTCATCCAGGTAGCAACTGGGGGTTTTGAACTGCTGACCTTGCAGTTCCCAGTTCAAAGTGTAACCACTACACCATCAGAGCCATCAGACAATGCTAAAAACACCTTATTTAGATATGAACTCAACTAACACTTTTTGTAGTTCTTAAAGGCTGATTTTACTAAGGTGATTTAAAAGGGCTTCTCACCCTCCACACTCAGCCAACTCCTACCAATTGTTGGACTCATTATTGTTTCACATTTGACGCTCGTTCTTCGGTCCATCTGGAACTTAAATTTTTTTAAATTGTTTATTGGTTTTTTTTCTAATCATTTTATTAGGGGCTCATACAACTCTTATCACAATCCATACATACATCAATTGTGTAAAGCACATTTGTACATTCACTGCCCTCGTCGTTCTCAAGACATTTGCTCTCCACTTAAGCCCCTGGCATCAGGTCCTCATTTTTCCCCTCCCTCCCCTTGAACTCTTGATAATTTATAAATTTTTATTTTGTCATATCTTGCCCTGTCTGACGTCTCCCTTCGCCCATTTTTCTGTTCTCCATCCCCCAGGGAGGAGGTCACATATAGTTCCTTGTAACCGGTTCCCTCTTTCCTACCCACTCTCCCTCTACCCTCCCAGTATCGCCACTCACACCACTGGTCCTGTAGGGATCATCCGCCCTGGATTCCCTGTATTTCCAGTTCCTATCTGTACCAGTGTACATCCTCTGGTCTAGCCAGACTAGCAAGGTAGAATCCGAATCATGATAGTGGGAGCGGGGAGGTAATATTTAGGAACTAGAGGAAAGTTGTATTTTTCATCGTTGCTACATCGCACCCTGGCTGGCTCGTCTCCTCCCCAGACCCCTCTGCAAGGGTATCTCCAGTGGCCTACTAATGGGCTTTGGGTCTCTACCCCGCATTCCCACCATCATTCACTATGGTAAGATTTTTTGTTCTGATGATGCCTTATACCTGATCCCTTTGACACCTCGTGCTTCTTCCATGTGGGCTTTGTTGCTTCTGAGCTTGATGGCCACTTGATTACCTTCAAGCCTTTAAGACCATAGACGCTATTCTTTTTGATAGCCGGGCACCAATGTGGAACTTAAATGGATCAATGCACATTTTGTTTCGCTTTGTTCTCTTTTCTTGCAAAGATCCTGGAAACTTCAACTTCACGCCCCGCCTGTTCATCCTCAGCAGTTCTTCTGGAGATTTCTCTGCCACTGAATTCATGTATCCTGCCCGAGACCCCGCTGTGATCAACTCTATGCCCTTCCTGCAGGAAGACCTGTACAGTGCGCCACAGCCAGGTATGGCAGCTCCCCAAACCTCTCTCACTCCACTGTGCCCTTCTTCAAGTGCTTTCCGTCTTTCAGGGACTCAGCCAAATCTCTTTCATACATTATGCCATCTTCATACCTACAGCAAAAGGCAGGTGCGATCACCCCCTGTAGACTGTAGTGCAACACACTGAGGCTCAGTTACTTGTTTGTCAGTGAAGAACAGGCTGATTCGGACACAAACTGTTTCGTGTCATTGATTGCCATCTTCACAGTGTACTATCTCGTATCCTACTTCCTCCCTGGGCTTCCTGTTTCTGTAAGCTTGAAGCCGACTAGGTAAAAGGCAACAATGGCGGGCCTGCCGTCTGTTATTCTCCAGACTTGCCTTCTGTCTTGTTGCTTCAAGGGGCAAGTCCCGGTGGACTGCCTCTGCTCCAACCATATTTACATCCTTGACCAAAAAGGAGGAGGTGCAAACGGCAGCAAGAGCTGTGTTGCTCCCTTTAGTAGAGCAAAAGCTTACCCAAAAGCCCCCAGCAGACATCTGCTTACACACCATTGGCTAGAGCTGTCACCTGACCACCCCAGTTGCAAAGCAGCCTGGGAAAGCAAGTGGTTAGCTTGTCACACCACTGTAATGTGAGTGACAAAGGGAGAGTCTTAGAATGTGATGGCAAGTCAGAAAGCATTGCTACAGGTTCCGGTTCACACATGCAATGGTTTGCTCCGAAGAAAACCTTTCTCAACAGACCTCTGCAATCAGGGGACAGCTGTAGGCATGTTCTCCCAGTAGCACATCTGTTTGGTTTGATTGAGGTGCCCTTTTCAAAAAGAGTATCTTTTGTGCCATAAGGATGAGGAACTCTTTGAGATCAGGGCTAGTATCCGTTTTTTTTAACAAAACTCAAGTGGATGTATTTCCAAGCTTTGCAACACATTTCCAGGACGGCTGTCCAAAGAAAACAACAGGTGGACCAAGGGTTCTAAGGAAAGTCGGGAAGACCTCAGAGATGAATTCCAGGCAGAGAGGACAGATCAAAGGCACCCGTGTTTCAGAGCGATCATGGGGCTTACTCGGAAAAAAACTTAAGCAAATTAAGAAAAAGGCCAAAAAAGCTTCACCGTGGAATGTTTTCCCACCACAAAAATGCCTTTGCTCATTCTTGGTGGGTGACAGGGGCTGTCCTGTAAGAATTTCCTTGGGAAACATTACCCTTCCACCCTCTTAGCCCAGCCCCAGCCCCCAACTCCAAGAACATTTCAAAGGAGCCTATGGGAGTCCTTCGAGGATGGCAAACGTGCCATTCTGCAGTAGAAACTGAGCCCACAGGATTCTTGGGAAAGCACAGGGACCTCAGTGGAGGCTATGTTGAGAAACAGCCTAGCTTCACATTTTGGTATTTTTGTTTGGGGTTTTATCATTTTGTAGCAATGCCTTCTGACTTACGCTCAGAGCTGCTGGGCTCACTAAAGAATGCTGTCATCTGAAGACTCTAGAGCAAGGCCAAGACTTCAGCTGTCCGTGTCTTCTGATTACAAGATCAAAATGGGTCCCCCAAGACCACGGCCTCCAGACAGAAGTCTCTGTGCTCCCATTTGACTGGAAAGTCATAGGAGACCAGGCTATCTAGACATTCCAAGCCCTCCCCAGTCACGAATGAGATCCGTGATCTCTGCTTTGTTCCCTCAAACATTGGGAGCACTTGGAGCTGTAGCAACACACTTCCCCTTTCACCCACAGCGCAGGTCACCGCCTTCTGGTACAGACCTCTGTGGAGAATATTAGCAAGTGCCTTAAAAAGGCAGATGTCACCACCCTCATCAGCCAATGCTTCAGGGTGGGTTACTGACCACCACTGGGCTTTGAAAAGATGTGGTTTTCACAGAATCCTGAAGGCAGGGTAGGAAAGGACTCTTGGGGAAAGGATCAGGTTGACCCTTCAAGGAGAACCAGTGAGGCAGAAGAGACAAAACCATCTTGATGCTTGAAGTCCATTTCTCTCTAGAAAGAATCATGGCCCTGAATCCTGGGCTCAGCAGCCATAGCAAGGGGCAAGAGCCAGGTTGGCCCACAGGGCCCACTTGGTGCACTTCCCGGTTTTAAATGTGCTCAGAGGTAAAACTTGCTGTGCCCACTCAGTCACAGTCCTGGCCATACCAGAGAGAGGGGCATGGCTTGCCAACAGGGGGGCTAGAGTAAAAGGAAGAGAAATGTCAGGAGAGGAGCAGGGAAGGGAAGAAATCCAATCATGTATTATTGCTCCCTGAAATCTTCCTCAAAGTGGGACAAGACAATAAATCTCATGGCTGTTTCAACTATTTTGTTTTATCTCAAAAAGTCAGATTTGTAGTGTCTTCGTTTGCTTGGGCGGCTGTAATATCACAAACGAGTGGCTTCACATAGCAAGAATTTATCTCAGCTTGGAACCTACAAGTCCAAATCCAGGCACCTGGGATAGGCGCGAGGGTTCGTGGCATCCCTCAGCTGGTAGGCAGTTCCTCTCGCCCTCTCATCTGCTCTCTTTATGAGACACCACTCAGAAATGATTATGTTTAGGACCCATCCTGCTCCCCCTCATGCCCTCATTAGCATAGCAAAAGAAAAGCCTTACTCCCAACAGGAATTACATGCTTACTGATCCAGACATGGGGATCTTGCCACGCCTTTCTCCCCTACCCCCCACCCCTGCACTCATCAGCATGGAGCTGATTCTGACTCAAGCTACCCCATACAGGGCTTCTTGGGCCGCCTCATCTTCCTCCCACCAAAACATTGGCGCAGATCAATCCACAGGAAATTCCCAGCTTTTTCATCCTGCCAGACACCCAAATGTGTGTGGGCTCTGGCACAGGTGAAGATGCAAGGAATCCATCTGAATTGTTGACGTGTCACCGTTTTCCTATCACCGAGTATGGGGTAACAGATTCTCTTCTTGAAAAGCTGTTTAGTAATAATGATGACCTGAGTCCATCACCAAAGGGCCTTTCCCTGCGGCCGCCTCAGTCGAATGGGTGGGGGAGGAGGGGGGCACCGGGACCTGCGGCTGCCCTGCTGGAGCTGTGACCGTCTGGTCCCGCCCTGTGACCCCGCAGCACTCTTCCTCGTTGACAATCATCACGAGGTGTACCTCTGGCAAGGCTGGTGGCCCGTGGAGAACAAGATCACTGGCTCGGCCCGCATTCGCTGGGCCTCGGACCGGAAGAGCGCCATGGAGACGGTGCTCCAGTACTGCAAAGGTGAGGCCCCTCGGCGACCGCTGCACGGGTACCGGAAGTGGGTTGGGTCAGAGGGCAGCTAGGACGCTGTGTGGACCGGAAGTTCGCCTGCGTCACATCAGGACCTCGAGTTGAGCCGGAAGTGGGCTGAGGGCATGGTCCAGGCCCCTGAATGAACCGGAAGTGGGCTGGGGCACACTGAAGAGCCAGGACCAGCCCGGAAGGAGCTAGTGGGGGGCTGGGGGAAGCATCCACTGTGCGCCAGCTCCCATCATCGATAATTCGTTTTCTCTCTCTTATATGATGAGGCCATCTCACTTGTTGCCCTCAAAGCTGAAAGCAGCCTGAACCGATTCGCACCCTTGGGCGCTCAGGATTTAGGGGATTGGGTGACATGTAGGCCTCCACATGCCACGCTCTCAGAGGAACCGAGCCCTCCGGAGTTGTTGAAAAGCCAATGGTAACCTTTCTATCATTGGTTAATATTTTTAGCGTTCCTTCCAAAGAGAGACGGACCCTGATAATTCCCAGCGTTCTTGCAGCGCCATCCCCTAGAAATTGGTGGTCTTTTCAAGAAAATGAAGGTGCCAGCCATTCGTTTTTTACCAGACTGTTTAGTGAGGTTTCAGCACTGAGCTTAACCTGCTTGTAGGTAATCCCGAGTGTGGCTCGGGGTAAATGTTAACTGTCAGAAGCGGTAACCCTGAGCCACACTCGGGATTACACTGAAGTGCCCAATCGATTCTCTTCTTGAAAAGCTCTTTAGTAAGAAGTAACTGATTAAAGTTTCCACCAGATGTTTCTGCTAACGCAGACTTCTAAACTGCTTGAACGGGGAATATGCCAGCGGGGAGACCCACCTAGACACCGGGAGGTGGCTCCCCCCTTGCAGGGTCCAGCATCTGGTGAGATGCAGACAGTACAGGCTGGCTGTGAGTCCCTGCCCCTGGTTAATGTGCTTAACTGCTAACCCAAAGTCTGGAGGTTTGACGACACCGAGTTGCCATGGTGGTTGACTTCTTAGAAATCGGCCATTGGAGACCCTAGTGTCACTGGCCGCCAACCAACAGGTCGGCAATTCAAACCCATTGGGCCCACCTCAGAATAAAACAGACCAGTTCCCATAAAGATGACTGCCCTCTGGTCCCTATGAGTCAGACCCACCTAGGAAGCGCAATTCTTCTCTGACACATATTGGGGCGGGGGCGGGGTGGAAAGGCTGCAGAATTGATGGCAGCTAGGCTTTCTGTTAGAGTAATGACAGTGATATGTGTCAAGTAATTCAATGAGAGAATGTGCTGGAAATCAGTTTTGTTATGAGAGACTTAGACGTGACTTAAAGCACCTGATGAGATTTCAAGCAAAACGAGAGAGGCAGGCAGAGTTGCTGGGCCCACCCGAGATCTCCTCACCTTGCCATTCTGTGTCACCACAGGAAAAAACATCAAGAAGCCACCCCCCAAGTCATACCTGATCCACGCTGGTCTGGAACCCCTGACGTTCACCAATATGTTTCCTAGCTGGGAGCACCGGGAGGATATTGCCGAGATCACAGAAACGGTGAGCACACCTGCCTGTCCCGAAGACCTCGTTCCACCCTGGGGATGCCAAAAGATCGTGCTCCCATGAGGAGGGACTGCTGCAGGCCTGTTTTCCCACACCGCCACCCATTGCTGCATGGTTCTGTCCACAGTACATTTGCGGTCAACACAACTTACTGCCACAGCCTCTTCCAACTGAAGTTCAAGGGCATAACTGGCCATCATGTTATTGTCACCCTATACATAACGGGGAGGGGGGGCGTGTCAGCTGTGGACACTGTCAGGATCCCTGGTGACACAGTGGTTAAGTGCTCAGCTGCTAACCAGAAGGTTGGATGTTCAAACCTATCAGCAGCTCTGTGGGTGGAAGATGAGGCTGTCTGCTTCTGTAAAGATTTTGGCCTTGGGAAAACCCTGGGGCAATACTCCCCTGCCCTTCTGAGTTGCTCTGAGTCAGAATCGATCTAACTACCAGCTGGAGGGAGAGGGGCTCTCTGAGTTCTGCTGCATGTCTCCTCCACAAACATGACATTCAGTGAGTGCTCGTGCTGCCCCCAGCACTGCGCCAAGCACTTCCTGTTCATGATTACATTTTTTTTTAATTGCAAAAGTTTATTTAACAAGAAAATTGAACATGGAAAATGTACTAGCCTTTTTTTTTTTACACTGTAGTAAAACAGGTCCTTTGGAGAGGGGTCACGTGGAAGCTACTGGTGTCTCTGTTGAACATAGCTGCTACTTATACTCACTCCAAGGCTTCCAACATGTTCTGTGGTGATCTCCACACATTCATCTATCACAAGATTCAAAAAGGGATCAAATCCCCAAAGTATCCCTTGGGCATGATTGCCGCTGTGTAATTTCACAACGGTCACTTCTTGTCCATAAACATTTTCAACTCGAACAGAGGAGCTTTGCTCGCTGTGCCTTCTCTGAAGGTTCAGCACTGGCTGCCCTGAAACACCACTTTCCGGTCATCTTCCTGCCTCACTCTCAAGCGTTGTCTTAACGTCCCCGAATGACCAGTACCGAGGGCCAGAAACACGAAACACCTTGCCCAGAGTCTCGGTAATGGAAGAGCCAGGGTTCAAACTCAGGACTCTCACTGTAGTGCCAGGTCCCCGGTCCCCCCCATCACCTGTTGACCTTGAAGGCAAGTCATTCAGTCCCCCACCCAAAGGGAGGCTGGCTCGTCTGGACTCTCCAGTTTACTGCAGGATGATAATGCCCCCAGAATAACCTAGTCCCAACTATAAGCACACAGCAATTTTAAAATCTCCTTGATCCAGCCCCCAGGTTAGTCTTGGTATTATATTGCTAAACACCCCTCCCCCCGAAAAAAAGGCAGAGGGGGAGAAATAAAACCAATGCTCATTGAGTCAGTTCCATGTGGAACTGCTCCTTCGGGGCTCTGAGACAATCCAGTTTTATAGGACTGACGGCCTCATCTCTGTCGTGCAGTGCAGCTGCTAAGTTTGAACCACTGACGTTGGGGGTTAGCAGCCCAAAATGGAACACACAGTGCCATCAGAGCTACTTTGGCAGATTGCTGTGAGGTTGTTAGGCTCCGTGGAGTCGGCTCCCACTCACGTCAACCCTGTGCACAGCAGAAACGCCACTCCGTCTGTCCCACTGCTATAGCGACTGTGTGAATCCACCTTGTCCAACATCCTCTTGTTTGCCACTAGCCTGTTACTTCACCGAGCGTACTGTCCTTCTCTTACGCTGCCACCTACCTACCTGGTTAGCAGCTGAGCACTTGACCTGCGCCACCAGGGCTCCTTATAGAGCCCATAGGAACGCCAAATTATCGGCAAAGAATACAGTGCAAGGTTGGCCAGACACACCCTTGAACTTAGACTGGATGGGGCAGTGACACTCCCCTTTGGGGCACAGTAGAACTGCTTTCTAAATTCCTCAAAGCTGTAAATCCCTCCTGGAGCAGACAGCCTCATCTTCCTCCCACCCCCACCCCCATCAAGTCAATTCCGATTCGTAGTGACCCCGTAGCACAGGGTAGAACTGCCCCTGTGGGTCCCCAAGACTGGAACACTTTGCAGGAGTAGAAAGCGCCGTCTTTCTCCCAGGAGCGGCTGGTGGTTTGAAACTGCAGTCATTACAGTTAGCAGCCTTTGAGGACTAACCATAAGGTCAGCCGCTGGGGGGGGGGGATTGAACCCTGGAAATGCCTGACCGGTGGCTGTGAGTCAGAGTCTGCCTGAGGGCAATGGGAATCCTTAGGGAAGCTGCTGCCGCAGTCACACTGGCCTCCGGGGTGGGGACCCCATGCACAGCTCAGCAAAGCCTGAGCTGGGCCCCTGACTGACTGCAGAGCAGACCATTGTGATCAGTGGCGTTTGCACAAGTCAGTCACCAGGACTTGCTTCCTAGTCTGTCTCATTCTAGAAGTCCTGCTGAAACCTAGGCAGCCGCTCGGAACAAGTCTTAGCATTTGGACATTTCTGGTGTTTAGATACCAGATTCGCATGTGGTATTCTCTAAACTCTTTCTGGCAGCCCCAGGAGCCGGAATTTTCTCACACTTGGTGGTAGCAAAAGTAAGCATTTAAAATAGGCACCTGAGGGGCTCAGGGAAACTCCTTTGATCTAAGAAACAAAGGCTTAGTCCCTGCCCCTGGAGGCTGCTCTGTGGACTGATGCCAATACAGTGTGCTCACCTGTAGTTCAGAGGCAGAATTCCCGCCTTAGATTCCCAGTCAGTGTACCCTATGCACGGCCAGGAGTGGGGCTATGAGGCTGAACTGTTTGCTAGATTAGGAAGCAAGCCGTGCCAGCTGACTTCGGAAACCAGTCAGTGAAAACCCTGCAGCTCACAGCCTGTGTCCACGCATGGGGATTCCCCAAGCCCTTGCTGAAACCTGTTCCGACATGGGACTTGAGTTCTCGCTGCTCTTCCTAGGACACAGAAGTTTCCAACCAGATCACGCTGGTGGAAGACGTCTTAGCCAAGCTGTGTAAGACCATTTACCCGCTGGCCGATCTCTTAGCCAGGCCACTGCCTGAGGGAGTGGACCCTCTAAAGCTTGAAATTTACCTGACGGATGAAGACTTTGAGGTAGGTGCTTCTGTAGGTGGGGGATCAATTAGCTGGCTCAGCCCAAGGGTCCCCTTCACTCACCTGCTGGCCACGTGCTTCCAATTCCTCAGTTTGCACTAGACATGACACGAGACGAGTACAGCACACTGCCTTCCTGGAAGCAGGTGAACCTGAAGAAAGCCAAGGGGCTGTTCTGAGCGCCACTGCTGCCGCAGAGAACTCACTGTGGAGGAACCGCCTCTGTCACTTTCAGTTGGACCAGGAAATCGGAGACTTGGTGGGTGGGTTTTTTTGTCTCTTTGTTTTTGCTTTCTCAGACTGATATTTCAAATATATATATATATTTTTTTTAATCTGAGTTTTCAAAACCCGATGTGATCAGCGTTCTGCTTGTCCCAGAGTTGTGCATTTTGTAAATGTTGGAGAGAATTTGTCAGGAAACGGTCGGTCCGGTTCTGCAAGTATGGATACAACCCGAGTCCTTGAGGGGCGGCGCCTCCGCTGCTGCTGCCACTTGTCCAGTTGCTTCACCTAGCCTGTGCCTCTTCCCTTTCGAAGCAGTCCTTCTACATCAAGTGTTATTTTGATAGTTTGTGGATTCTAAAATATATATATATTTATATAAACACCATATAAATCAAGTCTGTATTTAACAAAGCAATATGTACTCATTCACTTTGAAGATCTTTTCTTGGTGTCAAATTTTCTGGAGAGGTAGATGGAGTTGCTTCTGTTGAGTTAGCTCTGCCACTAGTATGTGTCCTCACCCACACATTCGGAAGCGCTTCCTCCAGCATTCGGGATGACTTGTTCTGAGTACTGCTTCCGGTGCTAAAATGAACAAAGAATTTGTACTTAATGACATAGATCCAGAAGAATCTATGTGACTCAACCTATCTACCTTAATAACACCCCCAAAAATGTATAGTGCCTTGTTTTTAATGTACAGTTTATATACAGAGAAGTTTGGTCTGCCTTTTTGACGACGGTTTGGAACACGAGCTATCATTTTACTCTAAAGCAAGAGAAATAAAGACATCTCAATTTCTAAGACCCGTTGTAAACCAGTAGACCTGTCGTTTGTTTTATTGAGCTCCAAAATTTAAAAAAATTTCAAAATAAACACAACGATTAATTGATTGGTTCACATTGAATTCCAAGCATATTCCTTTCTGAGGGAAAACAAAGTTGGGGTTTTTTTGGTAAAAGTTAACCTAGAACCAGTATTTCACCATTAAATATTAACTGTTGTGATTTTGGATTTCATGCCCAGCAAGGTTTTAAACAGGCAGTAAAATGAACTCTACAGATATTGGCCCATCAACATAGTTCCAGGTCCTGTATTAAATACTTAGTCTTTAGTTATCCAACATTGATGCAATCTTATATATATAATACACATGTATATATATGGCATGAAACAAATTTCCTCCCAATTCTGAACTTTCAGGTCCAGATCAGGACCTCTCCATATTGATTCCTTCTGTGGACCTCTCTCCTAGTTTCTGGTTAGCACAATGCCTAAACCACAGCGCCACCAGGGCTCCTTACAACTATCATGTGCACTTCTCAAATCCAGGATCGCAGTGCCCTTTTTGCCCTTCTCCTCCTAAGTGAGCACACCAAGCACTTTGTTGGCGCGGTGGTGGTCTTAGGCGGCATCAAGGCAATTTGGAACAAGAGCTTCCCCTTCTGCTGCTCAGAAAGAAGCACTCTAAAGGATTCTCGTGCCTGAAATCTTCCTCGCAGCAGATTTCCAGCTTTTTCCCCTGCGGAACAGCAGGGGTAGGAGGTAACTTAAGTTGCTTTCATCAGTGAATTGGTGTTAATACTACTATTCATGACCTCAGAATTATCCCAGAAGGCTTTTAAAAGAGTGAAAACCTACTTGCTTTAACTACTACCTTTGTGTTGGTTTATAGAATAATCATGGTGACTTGCCTGTTGATCTACTTTGGAAAGCTGGCCAGTGCAACCCTTAAGGATCGTAGCAGAATACTGAGCCTCCCAAGTTGGCAGGCTTTAAACACACAGTGAACACACAGTCAATGTGTGTATGTCAAGGAGCCTAAAGATGAGGTGGGACAGGGTAACAGTTTGCCCGAAGCCTGAGCCAAACTGACAGCAGCTAATAACAATAATTAGTTTGCTTGAACATTTTGTTGTGAACTAGGTGAGAAGATCATCAGTCTCACATTGAACAATCGATACACGTTTTGTTTCAACACACCCTTTGCAGCCCCCTGTACACACGATCCATTATTCTGCTCTCCCTGTTTCCATTCCTAACCCTCCAAGCTTTGTCATTGGGGAAACACTGTGCTCTGTGTGTCACGCCGTTGCTCATTTTACCACAGGACTGTGTTCACCTCCATATCTGCATAAAGACCACGGGCTGTTCTTGACTCAGGTGTGGAGCACTGGGAGGCTTCCACTCGTCTCTATCCAACCAGTAAGCCTCATATCTTTCATGATTTCGAATGTAGTGCCATAATCTCCCACTCTATCCAGGGCTTTTCTCCTCTTTCCTATCCTCCCCTCTCTCCTCCCTACTGCACTCTCCTCTCCCCTTTCCCCTCTCCCCTCCCCTACTGCACTCTCTCCCTTCTCCTTCTCTCCCATCCACTCGCCTCTTTCCTTTGCCTCTTTCCCTATCCTCACCTCTCTTCTCTCCATTCCCCTCCTGTACCCTCTCCTCTACTCATATCTCCATTAGTCTCTCCTCCTCTCCCCTCTATCATCCCCTATTTGCTTCTCTCCCCTCCACTTTCCTCTCCACTCCTCTCTGTGCTCCTCACTTGTCTCATCTCCTTTCCTTTCTCCTCTCACCTCTCATCTCCTTCTCTCTACTGCGCTCTCCTCTCACCTTTCCCCTCCTTTCCTCCCCTCTCATCTCTCCACGCAACACTCCTTTCCCCTCCTACTCTCCTCCCCTCTCCCTTCTACTTTCCTATCCTCTCTCCTTCTCCTCTCTGTCCTCTCCCTTCTCATCTCACCTCGCTTCAATACTCTCCTCTCTACTCACCTCTCCCCCATCCTGTCAACTCCTCTCGCTTCTCCTCTCCTGTTCTCTCCCTTCTCTTGCTCTCAGATCTGGAACCTTTTATAGGTGTTTTATGTGGTCTTTTTCCTTTCATAACTAGACCTTGGATGTTTGCATCCTGGGCTGGGATCTGAACGAATGCACTTTGTTGTTCAGTGTGATTCATTTAAGCTGTACCAGTGCCTCGGGCCTTTCCACATCACCCCTCTAAAAGCAAAGCACCCCTAACTGCAAAACCAAAGCCAAACTGAGTAGCTTCTAATCCACAGACCACTCCGGTGGTCTTTTATTAAACACAACGGGTCTGGTTATGGGTGCTTCCTTTGAACTGAGGAGCTTTCTAAAAGGGGGCCTGGTAGCTGGGTTGAGTGGTGATCATCAGAGCTGTCTTGGGACACATTAGATGCTGTGGCTATTCTGAGGCTTTGGACAAAACTGTACAAATCCTAACATAAGTCTGGTAAATACCTCCTCTGAGGGGGCCGTGTGACTTTAGGCCAGGCTGGTTGACATTCCCTGAGAAAGCCAAAAATAACTTGGTCTTGATAGACATACACATAGCCTGGTCCTTGGCCTGCCATGATTACTATGCCCCATGAAGGGGACGGCCAATGAACTATGCAAATGAGGTGCCTGTTTGGGCCGGGTCTGAACTAGGCAGCCCCCATTTGGACTAAGCTGAAGCAGGTCTGGGCCCTGCGTGTGCTTCCCTGCACATCCCAAAGGTCAGCAGCATACAGCCCCAGATAAGATAACCAGTGAAGCCAGATGTTCTGGGTTCAAAGAAAGTTGCAAAGAGTCAACAAGCAATTCTAGGAGTTTCCAGACCCCAATTGCCATACATTCCTCAACACCCCTTTAAAAACCCTCGCCTCGAGCTGCTGAGCACAACTTCCCTGACCTGTTGGCCTGGGTCACGGAACCTAGTCCGGGAGCTCCGCCCCCCCCCCCCCCCCCCCCAATAAAGCTATGTCTGCTTCTGCTCTCCCTTGTCCTGTCAGTTATGTCCCTCAGTTATGCTTCACAGTGCCTATGGCCTACCTAGAGGGGATTGGTCAGTTAGTGAACCCCTTCCCCAGGGAGGGGCCCTGCTTGTAAGTTGACAAGGGGCTGTGTATGTCAGCACAGTGGTTTTCAAACAATGAGAGGCCAGAAAGAACTGAGAAGAAGCAGAGGAAGGAAGAGGCAAGGAACCTCCTAAGAGAGCTGGGAGGCGGGTTCAGCACTCCCAGACTGAAGCCACCCTGTGCCTGTGGGTGGTGAGACTGCAGGACCTCGAGGAGCCTGCCGTCGGGGCGAAGGGGCAGCGGTCCTGCTGAGAAAAGCAGCGAGTGCTGTCCTGAACTGAACAGAGATGACCCACATGCTTCCTAATCCTGATCCCGAGTTCCACCCTATTCCACAACCACCACTATTGATATCGCACTGGTCCTGACTCCCAGCAACCCCATGAAGTCAGAGGAGAATTGCCCGAGGATTGACATGGAGCCTTGGTGGTGGTGTGGTTATGTGTTGCACTGCATTCCACGTAATGGGAAGTTTGAAACAACCAGCAGTGAGTCAGCTTTGGCTCGATGGCAATGAAAGAATAATCTTGACAGAAGCAGAGTGACCTTTCAGTGAGCACCTGAGCACTTAACCACTGCACCACCAGGGCCCCAGGTATGTTGTTACTAGACCACATCACGCTATAGTCATGAGATGGAGGTGCAAAGGACCAAGCCCAAACTGGGGGGAAGAGAGTATTCCGAGTCAGAGATGGAACAGTACAAGCAGCTTGGGGAAGGTGGAATTCTGGGGTGAATTCAACCTCTGCCCCAGCAGAACCAGCCCCGTGCTGCTGCTCCCTTTTTGAAGGTATGCGTCCCATCAGCAGTTTCCATTGGAGTGGAACGATCTCTGAGCCTCTCAATGCCAACCCCCAGGTCACCGTCAGGGACAGGTGCTAGAGCCCCTTCTCATCGCCTCTTAAAATGTCTGCCCCACTCTTAGAACTCAGGTTTCTGGTAAAAAGAGGTGCATTCCAGAAATGGCTTAAGAATATTTATTGGTCCTTATGTTTGTGTTTGTTTTGGTGAGGTATCATTATTATGATTGAACTAATTAATGCTCGTGTCCACACCATCAGATGAACATGGATATTCACAGCACCACTCAAAACCCATGTGGCCACCAGCAGATGAATCGATAAACAAAATTTGGTAGCACCATACAATGGCATCCCCCTTCATAATAAAAAACAGCAAATACTGGTGCATGTTCAACACTGATAAAATGCGAAAACATCGTTAAGTCAAAGAAACCAGGAACAAAAGATGTATTGCTTGAATCCATTTACATGAACACTCGAGAAAAGGCAAATCCTAACAGACAGCTGATCTGTTGGGGCCCGGGAGTGGGGTTGACTATAAATGGGCAGAAAGATGCCTTTGTGGGTGATGTTAGTGCCCTAAAACCAGCTGTGGGGATGGCTGTACAACCGTCCACATATTAAAGCTTGTTGAAGCGCACACATACGTGGGCATAGTTTATGGGCTTTACTTGAGACCTCAAGAAAGCTTTTTAAGAATACCAGCACTTGGTTTTGTCGTGGCTGCGTGGATGCCCCCACCCACTTGAAAAGGTGGTCTGATTCCGGGAAGGCAGATGTACCTTTGTCACCAGACCTGATGAGGGTCCTCAGCTCCTGTGGTAGCCTCCTACCCACAGAACCCCAGGTGACGCCCCCTGCTGGGTTCCACCCCCTCTCGGGTGGCTATGAAGCTGGCTGCAGCTGGGTCACCATTCCGGGAGGCCATTCCCTCAGGGTCGGCAGAGACAGGAACTCAGAAAACTGATCAGTAACTGCAGTGAAATTTGCCTATTCTTTTGGTGGTTTACGGTGCTTCCAATATTCTTCATCAACAGTGCAATTCAAATGCATCGGTTCTAATTCCATCTTCCTTATTCACTTTCACATGCATATGAGGTGATTGAAAATACCATGACATGTAGTTGGGGAACAGGGCAC